TCGGCGCGTAGACCGTTGAGACTTCCCATTCCCGGAGGAAACGCCGCAAGAGAGAACATCTGCCATCGTTCCTCCGCAGCGAGGTACAAGAATCAATGAGCGGAGACAGAGTCGCCCCGGGACGGAATATTTCCGTCCCAGGAACACGCAGAGGCTGCTTAGATCGATTCTTGGTGCTCGGTTCCGACCAGCTCTACCAGCTGATACAAAAAATGGCTTTGTTGGTCAATAATTTCCTGATGGCAAGACATGAGCTCGACCGTATGCATTTTTTTATATCGACGCGGGGTCCGTTAATCAGTTTGGAATCGCGCGCGACAGCTATTTTCGGATGATCGCGAACGAAGCAATAATAGGATCGAGGGCGCGCGAGGCCATGAACGAAAACGGCGGCTTTCTAATGAATCGAACTCGAGCTCTCTGGGAAGTCGACATCCCAATCGAGGAGCCACCAAAGATGCAGCTGATACGCCTGTGTTTTAATTAAGGAATTAGAATAACGGACGGACGGAGCTGAGGAAATTTTCAGCGTACAGCTCCGTAAAGGGAATGGACCCGAGGCTCTCGCGGCAGGCTCTCTGAGTTTCGTTTGATCCCCTCGCGATGTTGTACGTCAGCACGCGAACGAGATGTACATTATTTACGAAGAACGTCCCTGAAGTATTGGAGTCCGTCAAAACATACATATACGGTGTTTTCAAACACGCTCAGCTGTGGAACAATTATTCGACGAGTTCGACTCACGATGCGGCTCCTGCGGAGAGCGATTCGGAAGCATCCGCTCGCGTCGACTCAACTACCTGTCGGGGGGCTGATCGGAAAGAGCTTCAGGAGAAGAACGAGGCACGAAAGGCACTTTGAGAAAACACGTGAGTCCGGGCGCTCTCTCGTCAATCGGAAATCGATGGAGGGCTCGAGCTTGAAACTACCTACTAATTGAGCAGCAGAGCAACCAGCCCTCCTCTGGAGGCCGTTAAGGGCAGGGCAGCGTCAGAGTTGATCTCGATATGCTGACCGTCAGCTCGGGGAGTGCACCCGGGGAAGCCTTTCCACGGTCGTCCCCCCTCGGAGAGTCCCTCGGAGTCTGGCCTCCCGTCTCATCGGTCTGCGGGCGTTTCAGTTCAGCTCCTTGCGGAGCGAAACTAATAAACAAAGACGTTGCGGGGAATGGCGTAAGAGTTGCTGCATACGCACGGTGCTAGTATCCGATGCTATTAACTTCTGACCGTCATGTGCGTTTAGTGAGTGTTTCCGTAATTTATAGCGGCGGAGAGGGACCGAGAGAGCTACGTTCGAGCAGGCCAGGTTTGACACGCTCAGCTCCCTGTGGAAGCTCGAGGGGATTCGTCGAGCGAGCCGAGGATCTACCACAGGGTCGTTGCTCTGGGATCTGGGATCTGCTGGGGGATCTGGGATCCATGAAGATCAATTGAGGAATAGAAAGAGGAGCCGTGTTGTATTCTCAGACCACCATAAAAAATTCGCAGACACTGTCGTCGCCGTCCAAATGGTGAAAACGAATCCACTGGAACTGGGGTTGTCGTCTTGCGCGCCGCATATACGACGATCCTGGGATCGTAACTTTGTCAGCTCTTCCATTTGATAAATTGCTCGCATGTCAGGACGAAAGATTGTCAAGCGGGTAATCGTCATGGTCGTTCTGGTCTCTGTCCGTTTTTCATTGTGGAGGACAATGACAAGTTTCCTCTCCATCGCGGAAGCGGCTCGAATATGAGAATTGTTCTGAGCGACTCGCCAACGCGCAGTACGGATCAGCCGCGGTGCAATTTGTTGGGCGTGCCCCGGTCCGCGTCCTAATGACCGGTTTTTATTCTGAGCTTTTTTTCGCAACACAGGAGAGCAGAAGAATACTCAACACGGTGAATAGCCGCGGAGGGCCGGCGATTTGAGGCGTATTTGAGATATTTTTTTCATTCGTCAACAACTTCGCGTGACGCGTCCAATTCAGTCAAGATCCACGATCGACCAGAACGATGAATGCCTCATCTCGGGGAACTGCATTACTTGGGTTTATTGAGACAAAAGTTATTGGTCCTGCGTGCTCCGAGCACGTCGATCACCGTCCCAATCAGCTCAAATTAGGAACACAACATGAATGAGAGGGGAATGAATCCGGAGCAAATTCGCTCTTTCCAGAACTTTCCCTGATATTAGCGGATGCCTGTGCCTTCCGAGAAGGGTCGATGCTCTGGCGAGGGATTCTCTCATGTCCGTTATCCAACCATAGCCCGTATGGGAGCTAGGTGATGTCTCGACCCACAACGGAAATGAGGGATTGTACGTGGTGATCGAGGAAGAAAATGGGAGCGAACAGGAGACGCTGAAGCGGCCTGATGTGCGGATAGACTGTTCGTTGATTGAGCAACAATACCGTCGATCAACCTGTATGAGCAACGTTTCCACCTTGTCCTTCGTATCCGACAATACTCAAGCTCTGATTTCCAGAGCTCGTCTCAAATATGATTTGAGTCTTCATAGCTCTGGAGTTTGAGTGAGAAAGACCCCCTCCCCCACAACTGGCCAAAATTCCCTCTTGCTACCTTCCAACGTCGCTCCCGTCCATGATTCCGAGCGTGAGGATTCTGGTTGCGACTCGCGGCCCCTTCAACCCGCACCGATAGAGAGCAAGACAAACAAAATCGAGTAGGGGTTGGAGGTCATCCGGAGATATTGCGACGCTCCTCCAGCTTCTCGTAGGCCCTCGATAATGGTTTCCCCGCCTTTGTGTTTGCTCTTGTGGCCACTGGTCAACTATCGGCTCGGTGGCACAGTTTGCCACATCTTGGTCTGTTTCATTGAATAGCTCTCATCGGCCAAACGAGCGCGATCGCATTATCGGCGACAATACAGAGAGCTCCTTCGTTCTATCCTTATCCCCTATGTCTGGGAAGCACACTCCTGCCTAACGGAGCGCTCAATTTATCCTTTCCAGGGCCGGGCGATGAACTATCGGCTTGCGACAGCAGTCCCGTGTCTTCGAGACGAAGGCCGCGGAGTCCGCTGTGCTACACCGCACCTAGCGAGTCCCCACCCTCGCCCCCTGCAACGCCTTCAGGTTCCCCCAGCCATCATAATCAAGCTCACAACAAACAAAAGTTCAACTTCAAATCGAAGAAAATCGCTTCCATGATTTCGACGCTGAAGAAGTTCGCAACATCGCCCCGTAGAAAGTTCCACGACCGTTCCCTCCAGTCTACAGGTACGTGTGTTCGCTAGCAGCTGTCTCATCTCCTCTTCCGTAAGACCTACATGGGGGAAGCCTCAAGCTACCGAGCGCCGCTGATCGAGCAGCTGTAACCGACAGCGCAATTGGACTTAGTTCATCGCTAATCGGATTGTTGTTATGAGACCGGCGCGGCTGTAGCCAGTCATCTGTCAAAGCCCTCGCTCAGAGACTTCGACGATTTCGAACGGCGGTCGATTAGCCTAGTAAGAGCCCGCCCATTCGTCTTGATCCCATCGTCTCGGGTAGCAGATCTCGTCGTCACGGTCGGCGATTTCCCGCATCTGGAGAGATTTGCGAACGGAACGAGAGGAGGAAGAGTTCGCGTCTCACGATCGCTTAATGATCTCTGATGTGCGCTTCTAGAAACGACCTTTTGCGAGTCCCTCCCGAAAGGTTTCGTCAAAAATATGAGACACGCGATCGCATCCGCTATTGATCATATGTCCCCGAAAATGCAGGAACCCATCACGAATCAACTTTTTCTCCCCCATTCCTCCCGGGCCCCTACATACGAGCCAAATTCACAATTAATCCCTTCTGGGGAAGTCGAATATCCGATTGGGACAAAGGGCAGTTTACGTAAGATGATGAGATATTTCATGTGGAAAGCCTAAATGTGGTGTTTACCTTATCGAAACCGGTTCTAGAGACAGCACCGGCTAGAGACCTTCCGATCTGGAAGCCGCTTCCCCGATCGATGCACTCGCTCGGTGAGTTCGTCTGACCGACCGTCTGACCGGAAGGTGGTCCTGTCCTACCTACTCTAGGCGGTGAAGGGTTCTCCGCAGATCTCCTCTCCAACCCGTGGCTCCTTCACTTTTGTCTACCGACTATTCCCGCATTGTGGTGGTTGTGGCTGTGATCCCTCTTGGTGCTCCTCGACGACTCTTGGAGGGAACTTTCTATGTCCGATGGGTCACATTCGCTTTCAGCTGGGGAGGAATCGTCGTCGACAGACTCTGCCTCTCGACACGTTTCCCGGCTCTGCCGCTAACGCGAGATCTCGTATCACTTTCGCGCTATCGAACTCAGAGTCGAATGTTTCCGCAGGACGTCTCAGTCAAAGTCACCCGAACGTCTCGCGGAGCAACCTGGCGGCTCTCGCGGCTGGAGCCCAAGACGACAGTCAAATCGACTCGGCGGAAATCTGTGACAATCTCGCCTCGACGAACTCGCAATCGGACACGACGATACACCGGTGGAAATGGCGGAAGGAATCACGGACGAAAACAGAAATCATTCAAGAGCGAAAACTTGCTCACCTTCGAAGGGAACATCGGCTCTCGGTAGAAAGCACGGGCTCGACGCAGGCGCTAGCCGATGTGCAAGAGGTGAGCTCTTAAGCACTAGAGATCTCATTAAATCTTCCGGGCCAATGGCTCCGGGCGATGAGGTTGGAGAGTCTCGAACTCGACGAACGGGCCTATTTCGTGACTGAGCATATCAGCTTTCTCGGCCATCGCGACGAATGTGTGTTCCCACTTGAAATGCTCCGAGAAATCGAGTGCCGAAGGATCCTGGTCGGAGCGGAGGAGGAGTTCGAGCGGGGACAGCCTGTGTGTTTTCCGTAGACGTCAAGTTCACCCAAATGGAATCGGTGAGAATCGATCGTCGATACTCGTCTCGAGTCTAAATCGCTCCTCGTGATTTCAGGAACCTCATTTGAGCGGGCAGGACCTACGCATGTCTTCCACAGCGGCTAGCGGGAAACCGTTTTACGTGTTGGATGTTTGTTTGCGCTGCGGGAAGAACCTCATTGCCAAAGACCCTTGCGGTACGAGTGATCCCTACGTTAAATTTCGGATCGGCAGCCGGCAGATCTACCGCAGTCGGACGCTCACTAGAACGCTGGAACCTTTCTGGGATGAGTCCTTCAGTGTTCCTCTCGATGACATCTCGCTGCCCTTGCACGTGAAAGTTTACGATTATGACTTCGGGCTGCAAGATGACTTCATGGGTGCTGCAGAAATAGAGATCGATACGCTAGAGCTAGATAAGTGAGTACAGCACACTTGCCTGCCCAGCTCTACATTATCCGTCCGATGTCTCGGGAATAAATAATTATTGAGCATAATTTCGCTCGACTTTCCAGACCTACGGATTTATTGGTGAACCTAAGTGAGACGGGGAAGCAGGAAGATGCGAACGCTGCACAGGACCTCGGGTATTTAATGCTCATCCTCAGTCTGAGTCAGAAACCCTTCGAAGAACGAGCGCATGTGAGTTGGTTCTCGCTAAAATTGTCCGTTCGCTCATTATCATCGAATAGCCATCCCGCTCGCAGACGTAGAAATGCGTCGACTCGCCCGAATAAGAAACTAGAAACTAGTCGTAGAACTTGATAATCGCAGAACGAGCTTGAAAAATTCATGATGCACTCGCAGCGAATTCGTTCCGAATTATGATGGAGGAGACAGTACGTATCTGGCAGTTAGAGACCTGCGTGAGCATAGCGGCGGAAATTCCGCGAGATTTGAATTTGGTCGGCGAGAGGAGTTCCTCCCGAGATCCTCAGCGCCCTTTTTGCCTGTTCCGGAAGGGTGTACCGAGTGCGCTGCTATGGGAGAGAACGCAGCCGATCACCCTGTCGTGAATTGTCTCCATATCGATTGAGGGAATCTCTCGGGGAGCATCGAAAGGGATGCGACGTTACGCGGTCTTCACGTGCCGTCAACTCGTTCCTCCTACGCCGCTGCATCCCGAAGTTCTCGGAGCGGAGCTCAACTGCCTCGAAATCCCCGCGTTTCGCTGACGACAATGAGCCTTGAGCACGTGCGGGACACAAGGCTGCGATGTTCTCGCTGCATGGAAGCTTGGACTTACTCTCGTTCCCACGAGACGACGACGTCATTACGGAGCTCCACCGCAGAGGAGCGCTCGCCATGAAGAGCGTAGACGGTGAACGTGTGCATGCTTCACGTGATACGACCGGAGTCGAGCCAAGCGAGTGAATCATCTGGTTCATCTCGGAGAGATCGCTCTCCGACACTCGGGCTAATCTCCGTACTCCCGTACATCGATTGATCGAAAAAAACTCAATTTTAGACGGAAGAGTCTGATAGAGCTCTCGACGAATATTCCGCCTCGGATTCTGACGGCTGGTACAGCGGAAGGATGAGGAGACGACAAGAAAATCTAATTTGAATTCCCCATAGAACCCTTTCGGATCAATTTCTCGCTCGAGTCTCTCAGCGAACGATTCACAATCTTCGTCCTTCCCGGTTTTCTCTTGCCCTGTTTTCATGGTTCTCCTTTCACGGAACCCTTCTTGATCTTCCTCGCGAACCCCGAGAACGACGTGTCACAGAGACACGCCCCGTCGTTCGACGTCGACAGCGACGTGATAACAATGGAGCGGATGTTGCTGGAAACATCGGAACTGTTTACCGATCGAGTCACGCTGCTGCTCGGTCTCTTTTTCGTCTCTCTCGGACATTTTCTGTTTGCCTCTTAATTGCCGAATCTCCGCTGCCATGTTCCTTCGATCACTCGCTGGGTACCGCGCGGCGTTAAGCCCCGTTCGCATGAGTGTCAACAAACAATATCCGAAGCTCGACTGTCTCTGTCAACATCTGTGTACTTGGCTCCCCTTGGGAACAATTTTATTTCACTCGAGCCAACACGCCTTGTCTGAGTGAGTTCTGTTAGCTTCGGAAACAAACTCTTCGCTCTGACGGCGCTGCGTCGCGTCGCCGGAATCTCGCGGCGCGATGAAAGCGTGTTATGTCTCCGAAGTTTCGGGGGGAGCTACAGCATCGATTGCTGAGCATGCGGATGCGTATCGCCAGCAGCCGAAGATGAGTTCGCTTCTTCAGTTCGATGTTCGTCAGCGGGAACTCGAACTTCGATAGACGCTCGAGGATATAAGTCCGCTACAAGTCTCGCCGCGACGGCTACTGCTCTGTCGGGAATAGAGAGCGATTTGAGACAATGATTCCGACCTTCCCTGTGCGAGTTGTGTTGTGATCGTAGAATACGCAGTTTAAGGAATATTTTGACACTCGCTCGGACTGTCCCCGAAGCGATCGTCACAATCGAATACCGGGGTTGGCGAGCGCTCAGTCGAATAAGTCGCTGTCGGGCGAACCTGGAAGAAGAACTTCTTTTCTGAAGAGGGACTCCGAGGAGGAATAGCAATCGATGGCTCAGCTGATCCGATCTCGTCATTGAATAATTTTTCATATTCCGTCTCTGCGATCGCTCATAAGTATATGCTTCTCCGTAATGTCGACCAGTGGCGGGGCATCTCGAGGCTTCGCCGTGAATGGACATGGACGGATCCTTCCCATGGGCGTTGTCACCCTGAATGAATTCCGAAAACTCACAGGACTTATCTGTTTTCCAGTATTTCACGAAGAATAGTAACCCTCTCAAGTTGGGAAGCTCTCAAGACTCCTCTGTGATCGCTGGACCGGTGAATCGGAAGCAGAAAATACAGATGTGGGACTCTGTCGTAAATATTGTTCTGGTCGAGGGTAAGAATTTGTTGCCCATGGACGAAAACGGACTCAGCGACCCTTTTGTGAAGTTCCGACTAGGCAACGAAAAGTATAAGAGCAAGGTAAGGACGAATATCGCAGCCATATCCAGGAGCTGAGCATCCCTTGCTGGGCTTCGAAGACATTTTCTCGGACGGTCAGGATACAAATATTGTGGAGCGAGCTGGGCCTGTCCATTTTCCGACCTCTGAATCTGTTCGATATAAAATCATTGCCAACGAGACCAGGATGCAAATCGTTATTCAGATGGGCGAAGCCTCGCTTCTTCGCACATGCTCAGACAGAGCATGTTGGTTCGAGAAGAAGATTTATGACGCGAAGTATAGCGCATCGGGCGAGCCCTCATTAGGAAAGCGTTCCATCAGGTGTTTCGAACCGAGCTCGTCACACTCGAGGTTCGGAAGACCTTGGCCTGTTTCGAGCTTTTTGCTCGAACGCGATGCTCGTTATGAGAGCTCTCATCCCGAGTCAACAATCTTGCTCCGCTAGTCAGATGTCGGAATCATAACTCTTTGCACTGGTGAATAAAGCTCTCCTATTCTTTGCAGTTTTGCTTGAAAACATTGAATCCTCAATGGCTAGAACAGTTCGATTTGCACATGTATCAAGATCAGCCAAAAGTTCTCGATATCGCGGTTTGGGACAAAGATTTCGGAGGTCGTAATGATTTCATGGGAAGGTCAGTATCGAGTCTGCGGCGCAGAAGCACCATCTGAGTTCTGGGCTCTAGGTAGAGGTAGTTACGTCCCACGTCTCATGCAGATTCAATGTTGCGGACGGACCTCGATTTCTCGAGAAGATATCGAGCGAATGAATTCGTTTATCAGCGATCGGAAGCGGATCGGGAGCTCCGAGAGCATTAATTATTCTTGGGGGAGACGATGCGGCATGGGAAAACGAGATACCTATCAGCTTCGTCCCCAACTTACAGATGCAGTATCGATCTGAAGTCTCTAGAGCCTGAGACGACTCACCCAATTTGGCAGGAATTAGAAAATGGCGCAGGTCGCATATTTCTTCTCATTACGATATCAGGCACGCAGGGCTCATCATCAGTGTCGGATCTGGCTACCTACGAGCCCTCGGCAGCGCAGAGAGATGCCATCGCTTCAAAATACGTGAGTCGTCAATCAGGTTCTCTACATCGATACGTTGGGTTGGAGAGTGGGAAAAAATGCGCGCCCTACGAGATCGACCTTCCGAAACTGGCCTTGGAAGAGCTTCGTTCCACGACAGCGGTGGAGTTGGAACTCATTCCTGCTCCCGCAGGACCTTGTTCGTCTGCGCTTCCGAGGCAATGAATCCATTTTCTAGGACGGGACGGTTCCCTCACAAAACGATCCCAAGGGGACGCCCGGTTCCCTCCATACGGAGAAACACAAACGAATGCGCTCCCGACTGAGGTCTCGGATATCCAGGGGTCCAGCGATGAGCTGAAAATGATCTCCAATGGAGTTATCTGAGGCCCGATAATTTGTTCCGTTTCAGAATTTCAAAAACAGTCTACATAATGTGAACGATGTCGGATTCCTCGTGGTCAAAGGTGAGCAGTTCCCCATGAGTCAAGCTTCGTACCTCCTCGTGTTGATTTCAAAGCATCGATGAGCGTCGCGCCTTGATGTAGCCAGAGGAGCCGCCGCTGCGTTTTCCGTCCGAGGACGAATGAGCTGGGAGATATGTAGCCGCTATAAAGATTCTGTGACTCCAAGCTCTGCTGGAGCAATGAAGAAGAGTGCTCGATATAAACGCGCTGAGCTTTTACGCGGAGTTTGTCTCGGTCATTCTTCGTCCGCACGAGTAATTTTATGGCCGCCACAAGAGAAATCAGATCCTGGTCGTTTCTCACGCGCTCCCCTCTCGAACCGAAAGCTCAGCGAGAGCTTGGGAGTGGCGCAAGCATCGACATTATCTTCCATGGACCGGAGCCCACTCGCGTTCATTTTAAAACCCCTGTCCCCAACCCTGGGATGTCCCACCCAGTTTCTGATGAGCGCGAGACTAATTATTGTCATTCCATTGTCTGAACGAACTCATCTGCAGTCGTAACCGGGTGGAGACTTGGAGGAAACTCCGAGGAACTCGTGGATTCCGCTCCTAATGGAGAACCACGCGACAGAAACTTGTTTCTTTCTGTATCTCTCTGTCAAGAATCCTCGAATGTTGACTCTTGGTGATTTGGCGCTTAACGACCGACTCGGCTTAGCGGCAACCGAGCTCGCTCCGTTAGTGGACGTCACGTCCGATCTTCCTTCGGTTGGCAGCAAAGCCTGGCACCTTAACGGAGAGATTGCTCTCTGGGCTCTACTGATGGCACGCCCGACATTCCATCTGCCTTCTTTTCTCAAAAAGTGATTTTTCCAGTTTTCAAAGCGATGGGTCTAACAGCAGCGGACCTCGGAGGCAAGAGTGATCCGTTCTGCGTGCTCGAGCTTGTCAACGCTCGACTCCAAACTCACACTGAGTACAAGACTCTCTGTCCCGAATGGAATAAGATCTTCACGTTGTGAGTATCTTCATCCTTCAGGAAAATGAGAAAAACGGCGACTTCTCTAATTTGAGGGCTAACCCTCCGCTGGTCGAAAAACTAGTACACGGACATTTGGCGAATTCATCAGGTCTGAGGCAAAAATAAATTTTGGCGTTTCTCTCGCAGTAAAGTTCGGGACATCCACTCGGTGTTGGAGCTGACCGTCTACGACGAGGATCGCGACAAGAAAGTTGAATTTCTCGGAAAATTGGCAGTCCCTCTGATAGGGATTAAGAATGGAGAGAAGAAATGGTATCAACTCAAGGATCGTGATTTGAAGAAACGCGCAAAGGGCCAGATCCTGCTCGAATTCGAAGTTGTCTACAACCCGGTATGGATTCAGACATTCCGGGGGATTCGCGATCCCTCACATTCATTCGTCCGAGGAATGGAAGTTTTGCGATCCAGCTCGCGGAAGACCAATAATCTTCTGTATCCCTTGCAGATCAAAGCGTGCATCCAAACGTTCAATCCCAAAGAGGTCAAATATATGCAGTTGGATCAAAAGTTTAGGCGGGTGGTGAGTGGCTCAAGCTTACGCGGTAAGACGTCCAGACATGCCGGGGAATCGATCCTCGCGAAGCGATCTCTCACTCTCAATCGCTCCCGTCCCCAGATATTCATGCGTAACGTCAACCGTGTCAAGAGTCTTGTGATGCACATCGTCGAGGCTGGAAGGTTTATTAATTCCTGCTTTCAGTGGGAATCAGTACCACGTTCCATCATAGCCTTCGCGGTGAGCTGCCGGTTGCGAAATCGAGCGTTTTTCCCTAATTCATTCGATGCCCCACCCTTTTGTGGAACTCGAGCTTTCTGCGCAGAGATCTTGCGTCCTAAAAACGCTTCTTATCGTTTGCAGCTGTTCCTGATCATAACCTGGACTGCGGAACTGTACATGTTCCCATTGGCATTGCTGCTCATCTTTGCAAAAAATTATCTCCTCTTCCAGATGACAGGGTCTACCGGCGAAGAAGAGGTGAGTTCTGCGCCGTCATCACATTCAGTTTTAAGCTAAAAATATTTCGTAGCGATCGCGGGATCCACGCCTTTGTGCTCCTGTGTGCAATGCTCGCGATTTCCGCGACCCCATATGTTGGTCCTACGTAGATCGAATCTTCCCCGAAATCACCCAAAGTACCCGGCGATCGCGGAATTGAGTTCCGGGACAGCCGACGGAACCGAGTGAGCTCCGTGTATCGATGCAGCTCAGCGAGACGCTGTCGATGCTCAAGTTCCACCGCGAGCTATAAATACTTCGTTGAATGAGTAGCTGCTAGGAGGGAAACAATCGGCAAGCACCTCACATCGTATTCCGCGGTTTTTTAAAGCAATTCATAATTTATTGCTGAGATTCAGCCTGATTCAATCGATTCGTGGCCGCAGGAGGCCGCTCTGCAAATGATGCATGACCTCTGAAGTATGATTCGAATGCGAGAAGATGGTCATGCCCTCCGCGTCATATTTTGCGATTAGCGTAAGACCTTCGAATCGTCGGTGATGATGATCAATTTTCGAACTTGAGCGACGCTTTGATGGAATTTTCGCCTCTCTCAGGAACGTCCGGTGTTCCTGCAGATTGTCTGACTGTCTAGATTAAATGTTCATCCAGGATCCTGAGTATTGCCAAGTAGTCAATGGTTCTAGGAGTGGTCTCCCATCCGAGGAAACTGTACAGCTTCTGAGGGGAAAATTATTTTCCGAAACTTCTGAGAATTCAATCCACAAGGAACGGCTCAATCTAAGCAGCGAGAGGGAGCTTCCTCGGAGGGTTCCAGAGATCCTGGTCCCGAAACGAATGATTATCCCGCGGAAGTAATGCGGCTCTCCGCACACGGTAGAGCATCCCCTTTGGATCATGAAGATTCAAAACTGGGTCGTGCTGAGATGGGAAATGTTGATACGAGCCAGCGAGGCGGGCAGCATAGTCTTTCGTCCTGTGATAACTTCACGATCGACGAATCTCGGAGCGACAACTCGATTGTTTGATCTTGCTGACGATTGAGGATACATGAATTCGCTCGGACTTGCTGTCGGAACGGTTCGATCTCCGAGAATCGATTCACGCATGCCAGGAAGTCTTGATGTTCCAAGAGTCAAGTCATTAACCTTAGAAGAAGCTCGTAGAGTGTCATTTTCCTGAAGATCATCTAAGGAACAAAGTACTCATGAGGCCGAAAAATTCTCAATCTCCTTCGCTGAATTCTCCTGGAAGCTCTCCTCGAATTGACCGGAACCAGATCCTTCCTGAGGATGCCTAGCCGATCCGGATCGATCCAATACTGGTCGGTTCGATTCATAATGGATGGTCCAGCAGCACGTGGCTTCCCTCGAACGTTTTGTTCCTCTAGAAGAGGGAAGCGGAGACGGGATTGGGGAAGACCAAGGGGGGAACGTCGGGCCCCTTCTCGGCCTGCCGCCGACGAGGAAACCATGAATATGGTTTAAGAGGGAATTCAACCGTGCTTTTGCCTGGCCTTCAGGAACGCACGATCTCCCACTTTCGAAAAAAAGCCGGTCAGGCGATCACTTAAGGTTTCTCATTCCAATTTCCAGCTTTATGACTACCAAGACGATGATGATGATGAGGAACGAGACCGTCCGGTGAGTGGAGCGAACAGCTCATGCTAAAATAATCTATAGCGTTCAATATTAGCGTCTAGAGCAGGGACTCCCAACTACTCGCGCAAGGTTTCGGGTTATATTTCTGCATTTTCGTTCCACTGTACGGCGAAACCATTGAGTGCTAATGCATCAAATACGGTGGATGGATCAGAATGATCAGAATACCTACAACAATTCGATCTGATCAGGCAGAGGAATGGGAAGTCAGAATGGCCCAAAAGAGGCTCGCGGAACCCTAGGCGTCCGTGAAACTCCAGGCGGGGACCACTGGTCTGAAATATCGGTCGATTCCTCACGTTTGATTATGCTTTCCTTGGCCTGAAACCCCGCACGCAATGCAGGATCCCCGTCGACGACAGCGACTCATCACATTCGAGCCTTTCTTACTCTCAGCTTCGTTTCTTTTTTTAAAAAGCGAATTTTGCTTGGTTTTCACATCATCGTTTTCCGTTCCAACAGAAACGACCTAAACCTCCAGTGAGTAAAATCTAATTATTCTTATGTTCAGTCATTCACACTTGAATGGCCGTCTCCATTAAGAGTCTCGCCATGAGCTAGTGCGAAGGCTCTCCGCTTCTGTGAGGCCTATGCACTAGAGCGATGGGGTTACGCGGTCTTTCGTTGTTCCCGTAATTCTCCGTCGCGCTTGTACTCGTCCTCCAACGTAGGACGTGGATGTACTTAGGGCATGCTGTTTGTTTGTTCATCGTTGTCGTTTCGTCTGTCTACCGTCTGAGCGAGGACGCCTTCCATGGCCGTATGGGGAAATTCACCACCCTGGAGACGCTCCCTCCATGAGACGAACCGCTAGCCAGAAAATTAAATTCTCTGCAATTTAATTCTCATCCTTATTGCAGGAGGAGAAGAAGACGTTGAAAGAACGGCTCCAGGCGGTTCAAGAGATAACTGCCATGATCCAAAATGTTCTAGGTCAGGCGGCATCTCTGGGCGAAAGAGTCAAGAAGTGAGTTCCAAAAACATATATACATATGTATATCGGGGGGAGAGTCCCGCTCCAAATAGGGCCGGTCAGCGGGATTTCGAGAGCGTCGACTGGACGAGCATCCAGGGAAGCTTGTACTCATGCCCGAGCTCTGTTTTAGCGGCGGATCATTACCTTGCTATTACTGTTCTCCTTCCAGCACCTTCAACTTTAGCGTAACTTTCCTCTCCTGGCTAGCTGTGATCGCGCTCTGTGTGGCTTCATTGCTCCTGTATCTCGTGCCTCTGCGGTATATCATACTCGCATGGGGCATAAACAAATTCACCAAGAAGCTCCGAAACCCCGACGTGATCCCGAATAATGAACTCCTGGATTTCCTCTCTAGAGTCCCTGACAACGAGGAGCGGGTACGTATGCTCCATTATTCACGATCTTCCTCCACGGAGTCCCGAAAATATTCTCTAGCTGCTCGTGCCCGGGACACGTTGATGTCCCGTCTGAATTTACGAGGAGTAGATTCTGACAAAAAGACTGGTCGTTGATCGTCTACTCGGCTTCGATTCCGATTCTAAAATTCGAGATCCCTTTTCCTTCCAGATAAACAATCGAGAATTGAAACCGGTACAAACCGCTCAGGGCGAACCTGAGCGCAAACTGCGGAAACGAAAATGAACCTGGACGGCTCCAAATTGAGTCTGAGGTGGATTCTAAGTGATCGAGCTCTGCGCGCCGCTACCGCCGCAGTGTTCCCAAGAGTATCTCTCAGTTCATCCGCCGTCCGCGGACAGATCTTGGCTTCTGGTTTCTGAGAAGGAACTCTCGAATATCAAAACCCGCAGCTCTGCATGAAACCTCAGAATCTCAAACGGAGGATGTTCAGAGGAGGTTTTAGGAATCGAGGCGAGAAATTTCGTGTCTCACGTTTACACGCCAAGGAGGAGCCTTTTGAAACTCTCGAACTACTATCTATCTCTTAGCTGAAATCTCCCATATCTCTCTTCGGGACTCGCTACCGGATACGCGACTCCTGCCCATGCATTTCTCTATCTGCCATTAAGATAGCGAACCTCTTCTAGTCAGTGCCTTGATCGCAACTCTTTGCCTATGCTCTGTTCTCACCGTCGCGAGCAGAGACTATCGAAGCTCGAACCTCGGTTGCGAAAGCGTGCGAAAGCAAGACTGGCCCCTCGGTCTCCTCGGTATCGGAACGATTGGTTCTCCGTCGTCTCCGAACCATCGTTTGAGCGAATCAAACGCGAACCGTCCATGTCTGGCGCGATGCGCGACGATGAATTTATGTGGAAACACACATGACGGTTCGCTCGAGTACGAGAATCGAGGGTCAGTCTGAGAAACCAGCTTTAACTTGTGAATGTTACCAACATTTTGCCACAGCAACAATTAACACATCATTTACAAAGGAATGACATTTGCAACAATCCTTGGAGAGCCTCTTGTTCGGCTGATCGGCCGAATCTTTTTTGAAGCGATCAATCAATCTACAGTCCTCTGGCAATCGAAGCACCTGTATAAAAAAAAATCAATGGACGCGAAAGTGATTGAGAAAGGCTGCGCCGAGTTCCGTTCTCACACCGTTATTACGATCTATCGTTGCGTTTGTAAAGGAATTGTGGGAAAGTTTTCATAGACTCCCCCCATAGAGCGAGGTTACTGGGGGGAGAACGCCCAAAACAATTCTTGTCTGTCATTGTGATGCCACTCAGAGGTCGACGAAAGTGGCCTTCGGTTAAGTGAGATTTCTGTTGGCCGATTTTTCTTCGAGCATGCAGATATATTTTACCCGAATGCTCACGAGCGAACGCCGATGTCACATCGGTTCATATCCCATGTACATATTCGGGACGATTCAAGCAATCGTATCGATTACTGTTTTTTCAACCTCAAAGTTCTACTAGTCCTAGGTTGATAGGAGCTCTGCTCGGGCGATTGTCTGGCTCGACATGGACACTCCAGCAACTCATTCTATTTGCTTCTATGAACGGTGCTGTGTTGTTATATAATGAATTCTCAAAATATGATAACTTAACAATCAATAAACACCTTGTCAATTTTCAATCTTGCTCAATTGACTTCTCATTCTGAAATAGGACGGTGCCTCGAGTGACTTCTCCGAGGGGACACGGGTGGTATGCTCGTTTCGAACCTTATCCCTAAGAACCCATTCTGAATTGAATCCCTTATGTTTCCTTCTCGAGTCACGCGGGAGATGTACAGTCCCGGTCGTACACTGACACGGTCTCGAAGAAGTTCTAGCTCATCGTCTTGTCGCGTTGCTATTATCTAATCCATATCCGTTTCCCCCGGGTATATCGGCCAGATAGGAAACGAGCAAATGCCTGGAAGGGGTGACTCCAATTTTCTTTGGAGACGCAAGACTCCGGGACTATCAATCTGCGGATTCGAGCATCCGTCGTTTCCCTGATCGTCTCAGAGATCCAGCACTGGCCACTGTCTGAGAAGCGGCTTCAAATTCAGAGGTACTTTTTCCCACGAACGGGGATTCTCGCAGCTGGGGAGTCGTCACTCAGCTAAGCTGAGGGATCGATATCACCCGTAGGAGAAAGGAGTGTCTTCGCCGGAGTCACAGAGCTGCAAGAAACGCTTGTTGCACATAGAAATTCCACAAAGACCATTGACTATTCTCCGTAGGCAAATCCCGTCTTGGGGGAAGGTTTACATGTATCCTGCTCCACCTGGAGCGTTGTCAATGTTGATTCCTCCCTGCCCAGCGGAATTCTCCGAATGATATCACGCAATATCAGGTCCTTGTGAATTGAGAGACCAGTTGGAGCCGCACGCATGTTCGCTCACTTCAGGAATTGATCAGTGGAAACGCGAGAACAACTCTGTCAGGCTTCCTTGCGAGCGCCGTGACCGATGTAGTGCACCGGCGGGATTCCGAATCCGTTGAAGCCACACTGGAAAGCTCTGCGAGATTGAAGCTCATCTTAGAACATTCCTTGGTAGATAGCCCGGAACTCGAAGATTATGAATCTTTTCGTACTATCGCTCTCACCCTGATACTTGTTCCGGTCTGCATCTGTTTGGAGAGTCTGAGAATCATCCAAAAAGCGATTCGGGGAACTGACCTGGAGTAAGTGCCCATGTTGTCGATGAGGATCCACTCGTTGCACTTGAAGTCGACGAGGTGACCCCACTCGAGAATGTGATCGATGGGGTTGCACGTTGCTCCCCACAGAACGGTCTTCGAATCAGTCCCACCGTCGCCAATGTCGGGAATTTCCTCGTCTTTGCCCACTCGGTAAAAGTGGAGGTCGAGGTACGGTAGAGCCGCCCTAGGAATAACGTTGGACCGGCTTTCGTTCAGGAACACGTTTCTCGCGAGCACAACTGCTTCGAAAAATCAAATATCGAAAAGAACGGACCTTCTCCGAAACTTCAATGAGCCCCATGTTCGTGATTCACTTCTGCGGCGGCTCACCGTGATGCTCTTTTGCGACAATCCCCCCAACCGCGGCATCGGCCACTTCCTCTTGTGAGTGGGATTCTCCGAGCTTGTTGAGCTTGAGGTGTCTTCGCTGCATGCGTGACAGCCTGGCTCTGAGATCGCTCGCGGCACCAGGGTTATGGGTTTTGTCGATCGAAGTGTCTTTCACAGCTACAACTTTAGTACATAATATCCATGCCGAAGTAGAGAAGAACTGTCCTGGTTCGGCGATAACCGTCACTCCGCAACCTGTCGGGAAATTCCGTTCCAAGGATCGCTGAACGACAGCGGCCACTTCTGAGAACTGCTTCCGACGTCGCACTCCGCCAGGAAAGGAGCCTCCAATGTTGAGGATGTTCATGGTGAAGCCCATTTCTTTCGCTATGTCGAAAACCGCTCTGGAGAGCTCAATCGATTCGTCATAGATCAAAGGCGACACGAAACCCAGACCGACGTGGAAGCTGGAATGATACGCTGATGAGTAATATCTTCCAATTCCTCACGGCTCCCCGGGTGAGAGTGGAAATCGAACGGAGAGTATTGAACTCAGACCCGATGGATAAACACGCCAAGAATTCGTACTGACTGCGTTCCGACTACGTTGAGGTCCAACTCCTTGCACTTAATCAAGATCTTCAAGATGGTATCATTGTCGGCACCGAATTTCCTATTGAACGTGATTTCACTCGTACGTTCACTGCTTTGCAAGCGGATCAGAATCCTGGAATGAGACCTCAGCGTGAATAACGAACACAGATGCTGGTCGCTTCCGGTTGAGGCCCTCTTGTCCCTCCAGGCGTCTAGGCTCCAGTCGTTGTGATCGTAGCCGTTCACATACCCCGGGTTTTTCAGACCAGCACCCTGACCTGGTCCTGAGGAAAAATGCCGAGATATCGAATGAGCAATCCACGCCATCGTGAAGGGGGCGGGAGCAAGAAGCGCAAAGACGCATTCTGAATGTCTATAGGTTCCGTAGAGCTCAGAATGACCAAGAATGCCTCAGAAATTACTCATGTGATAGCAACCTCCCCGAGCGATCCCTCTGAAGTTCCCCCAACACGCGAGAAGCTTCCTAAAATGGGGGGAACTCACCTTGCTCTTTCTCTGAAAGGTACGATTTTCACTAGCTCTTCGACGGAGTCTACCGTCATGAGAGTGGCTCCTATCTCGAAACTGAAAGCAATATCCTTCACGCATTTTGCAGTGTTGGAAATCACCATATCCGAGCCCTTGGCCCCGGGAACGTTCTCCAGGACGAACTTGATTTCTCTCTGGGGAACAGGAATGGAGGTGTCAACAGAATCTACTCGTGGAGTTCGGATGGAGCGGAGTTGACGGAAAGAGGGAAATCCGAGGACGCGAAGAAGGGCGTCGGAGGCATCCACTCACTTGGTTGGAGCAGTCGAATTTCACTCCATTCGTGAAGAGGACTCGACAGAGGAGAGGATCTGGATTGGACTTCACGGCGTAATATGGAACTATGCCAGGCATACTCTGCCGCCAGAGCCTGCACTTGTACTCGACATCGTGGAGGTCACATATGAAGAACGCCTCGTCGAATTGCTGTGGGAAGGAATCCGTCAGGGTTGAGGGTTCCCCGGCGCATCGTGGTCGCCGGCTGAATTCGTTCGCGCTCATTGAGCAGCCGGCAGCGATTATCGAGATTCAAGAGCTTCCCCTTGTTTCAATGTATAGGTGATATGTTCTTCGATCACTTGGCTTACGAGGAATACTCGAGGCGCTATGAGCTCTTGTGGCACTCCAGCCGCGCAGTTTCTCCCCGATTCATACAAGTCTAGACCTTATGATCAACTCACTGTTTGTCGACCTATCATTTCCGTCGCGAGCTTCCGGCAATCGGCGAGAGTTGAAGACTCCCAGGGATCTACATCAGTCGCAGTCATCCTCTGAGCTGGGACACTTTCGTCTCTTCGACTGGAAAAAAATAGGAATCCGTCAAGACGGAACTCCCAGTGGAGAGAGATCAATGTCCTGGTTCTGCGGCGACTGCCGCAGTTTTCGAATCTTCCCAGATACGCCCTGACTTCGCCACGGCGAGATTGACACGACGATGCTGTCTGCAGGATGTCTCGGTCACAACGTCACAACTCGGAAATACCCCCAGGCCCGGGGTGAGAATTGAGAGAGTGGGCTCTCAATGCCCAGAGCAGTTAATCAAGAATAGGCTCCGAGCCGCGGGGACAGCGCCGATTTCTAGATGGAATGGTCCGCCCATGCCTATGGAAGAGGGAACGTACTGGGACAATGAACGGATCTCTCGAGCCTGCCGCACCTCAGCATGGGCTTTAAGCGCAGGCTGGTTCGGCATAGAGCTGTTGTACGGGTCGATAGCTCACCGAGTAAGTAGCAGTTTCCCTTACTCGAAGGTGAGAAGCAGCGTTGTGGCTGAGATTAGGTGATTTCCAGGGAGGAGGTCTGTCCTTGCGGCGCGTCGCTCTCAGGCAGTAAATTCGTTCCCGTCAGTATACGATGCTCTCTTTGAGGGAGGAGAGGACGAGTTGTCAAAGTTCAGAGAGGAATGACCAGGATCTTCGAGGCTGAATAACTTTGGAGAATTGTGTATGATATATATGTCTATGATAATATCACACTCTTCCTCTCGTGATTTTTCTTTTTTCCAGTCCTGGTCCGGATTCGCTCTCTCCGAAAACATCTGACTGCAACGTTCGTGTGAAGGACTAGATTCAGCGACGAGTTCAAATCGCATGATTTTGAAAACCCGGGAATAAGCCCCTCGGAAGAAAGCAATAAATGCGTAGGTGACGATATTCAAGGCAAATCGCGGGTAAACAAGATGAACGTTATGAGCTCCCGAGACCAAAGTCGAGTGCCTGGAGTGAGTCACCGGTCGCGGAGCGAGAACAGTCTCAATTTAGATCGAAATTACGAAGTTCTGAAGAGTTCTCCGCTGAAGCACCATTATAATGTCTGTTCTGGTCGTCGGTCGGTCTCAGTCTTTCGATGGAGATAACAGCGGCCACTCCAGGCCACGAAAACTTCGGAGGTCGATTTGGACGAGCCAGACATGAATCAGGTTCGCTTCAACGGATTCATCGTTGCGGGAACGTTCATCGGGGCGATATCCAGGGCGAGCTTTCTTCTCGGATCTCTTCCAAGGGACCGGAAAAAACTTTCTCGTACTGGACTTGACAGCCGAGGTTCCATCTCCCGGGTACTGTTGCTTAGAGAATCGGTACCAATAAGTTCCATGATCCCATAATTCGCCGACTCAACTGACCGGCGCCGATCCAAGCTGATTCGTACCGGGCTGTTTTCTGGGCTAGATAAGCACTAATGGCAGGGTGGTGGGCTTCCTCCTGCCGTCGCCACGACCGAATTTAGAGGACTTTGAGTGCTCTAATGTTCAGAGTTCAATAAGCCCCATAACTAATAGTTGACAGGGCTGTAAATTTTTCGAAGACCGCAGTATCTCTTGGCGATACCCCGTAGAGTTATATTCTTATCCAGTCCTAGGGGAGGGAGTAGGAGTGTTCGCCTTCTCCCTCCAATGAAAGGCCCGATTAAATTCTTCCTTGCGTTTCTCGCTTGGGGGAAGCCTCGGAACATGAAGTTCCGTCGAGACGCTACATGCATTCATCCCGGGAATCTTTCACGTCGTCACTGTAGGTGTAAGGAGCAAAGCGTTTTCTATGCCCAACGGGGAATGAATAATGGAAGCGATGCACAGTGTGTGCGAATTCGTTACAAGGTGAGTCGATGCTTAGCATCTGTAGATTTGTTCGCTTAAATACAGTTTCAACAAGTGACACCATCCGAAGCTAGGGTTCTGTACCACCACACGCTCATTTTCCGGATCATTTTCGGGCATGAGGCCCCCTAGCGGGACAATATTCAGTTAACAATCTCATCCCGAGGCCGTTTGCGTCGCGGTACGTGAGGAGAAGCCTATTCAGAGAGGACGACAGCCCAAGCTGGGATCGGACTTCTTCGAGAGACCGGCGAACAGAATACGTCGTCCATGGGATGATTCGGATCAATATTCATTCCTGGAGCCAGAACGATTCCGGAAGTGGATTCCGTGGTCGGGGTCCTCCGATGATGGGCTAGGGAGACGGAAACACCGGCTTGTGGTATAAGCGACGAGGCTTCTTATGTTGTCCATAGAAAATGCATCTGCGGCGAAATTCCGTAAGCAGTCGGTACAATCTACTGTTTCGAGATGTCGTCTCACGGGCAGAATCATGCGTAGTTTTATTGTCAGAGACCCGACATTTTATATTCATCTCTATAAGTCGCTTATGCTCCCGCGCCTCACATCCTGTTGCGAAATCCGGAGGCCCCAACTCAAGAAGGAGATGAAGGCACTCGATCGGCTGCAAAAGAATTTCATTCGACGAGTGGCAAATCGTTGTGATGTGGATAGGGAGACCATTGCACTTGGGAGTTTGTCTGATGTTTTCGATGCTGCTGATCGCAGAATGTTCCGTAGACTCCGCTCCTCTAGATACTTTGCGGAAAGTTTCATTGCACACGAATCAAACCTCCGCGAGGCACTGCTATCCGTCCGAAGGTCGACGCGCGAACAAAAAGCACTGCAAACATGTTCGCCTGGCGCTCGTGCCGACTGAACCTAAATTGTGTTCCCCCTTTTTCGAAATAACGGGGTTCGAAATCAATCAATCAATTCTTCAACAACCGTAAGCTCGATGAGATTTGTTACTCTTTGGTAAATTGAGTGAGTCAGGATCTGTATGATAGGAAGGCTCAAGGTGGAAGATCAATCTTGAGTAGGGAAAGGAAACACAAAATTCTCCTGATTCGGTGATCTGTTCCACCGTTGTGAGGGTGCATTGTTTTATTGATTTAAACAAAATATAGCCTTGTAAATAATCGCTCCAATGAGCCTTTCTCGAAACGATAGAGATTGTACATGATGGATCATCATCGATGATGTATCTTGATGCTCCTACAGCGGTGCGACGTTTTCGGATTGCGACGGCATACGAACATTCAAATTCGATCAGTAGAGCAGCATAAAACTGCTCTGTTCTCCAGCAGTGGTTTACCTCGGGAAAACTACTATGTATCTACCTTTTCAATTAGTTTCTACTGATTGGGCGCTATGCTCGATTCACATACATAAATGCTATTCCTATGACTAGACAGCTCCAGAATCGTAATTGGTTCGATTCAGGATTGGGGGACGAGACTGGAGTTCGGAGTATGAAAGAAATATTGAGAGATCAAGCTCAGTGGAGATCATCTGCTCTAGATTATCATGTCATCAGCAGTCTGGACTAAAAATTAAGTGCTAAATGCTATTGAGATCAGCCCTGAGCTCTGTTCTTAGGTTCTGTTATTGTTGCTGCTGCGATAATTGTCATAATTGTCGTCTTGTAAGTACTATAGTTTTGGCTAGCTCCTGGGAGACTTAGATGTTCTTCAGGAGATGTTCATTTGTGAAGAATGTACCCTGCAAGCCGATTTCGGGTGAAAACGGGGGATCCTCTGCTTCGAGAAAGTACGTCACCATCGTGCCCTTGCCCTGCAAAATCAACCTCGCTTGCATTTAGCTCTCGGACTATCGGAGGGGAGGTCATTACCACCTTTTTGCTCATCGAATGGAAATAAACGAAGTACCGCATGATGTCAAGACCCTTTCCTCACCTTGACTTGAATCTCGCCCCTAGATGTGGTCTTGAAAGTGTTGAACGTGTCGAGTATTCGCTTGGTGTCGCCGGTGATATGTATCTTCATGGCTGAGGATGCACAATCAATCAGTCACGGTTCGTCGACGGGTTCTTGATAGGAATTCCCGAAGTCTCGGATGAGGCCAAGTCAACCAGAAAAATGATAGAACTAACCTTCCCCATAGCTCTCCATGCGAGACGCGGTATTCACTGAATCTCCGAACAAGCAATACCGCGGACGTTTCAAGCCCACAACGGCAGCTGCACAGGGGCCTACATCGGATTCGTTTAATTGAAGCGAGAATCACGGAGGATATGCAAAAAGCATCATCAGGTGATACTCTTTTGAATGATGCCGGACATTGATTATATTGATGATGACGACGAGTACCTGAGTGCATGCCTATGCGAAGCTGCAATTTCTTCGTTGGATGGTGTCGTACCCTGAACTGCGTGATGGCTTTCAGGAGACTCAACGTCATTCGGGCGATTTCCCTAGAGGAGGAGAGGGCACGATCAATTTCTGAGACCGCTAGCGGGCAAAAGAGCTCCGACTGATTCGCAGAGGAACTCATTAGGGGTCTGAACGATCGGTCTGAACTCACCTGGCGTGTTCATTCCCATTGCGGACGGGCAATCCACTTACAACCATGTAAGCGTCCCCTATAGTCTCTACTTTGAACACGTCATAGTTCTGAATGATGGCGTCGAAGCACGAGTAAAGGTCGTTCAGAAGGTCCACGACCTGGAATGATAATTCACAAATCAATCATCTCATCCATTTCCTCCGGAAGCTCCCGGAGGAGTTCGGGTTCTCAGGACCACACCTTGGAATGTTCAGGATCTCAGGTGAGAGGCTCGAAAAGAATTCCACTGACCTGCATCGGCGTGGAGTTGGCACAGATTTGGGTGAATCCTACAATATCGCTGAAGCATATAGTGACCTTTTCAAATGCTTCGGGCTTGACGTACTCTCCTCGCTTCAGTTGTTCAGCCACGTACCTGGAGTTCAGAAAGTGTCATGAAGCCACTATGCGGAGGCCTCGATGACGGTGCTTGTATCGGAATATCTGACAGGCTGTTGCACAAAGTCTCCATGGCGAAAAACGATCAGTGGCTTCTCTCTCTGGATGCGGGAGGCGTGGGAATTGATGCCTGAATCAACAATCCGGTCAACTCGCCTTGGCAAAACCTCGTAGAGCAGTTCGTCGCTCTTCCGCTTCTCCTCGACCAGCAACGCGGTTTTATCTTCAACGAGTTGTTCTAAATTATTGGCGTATTGTTCCATTCGCTTCAGGAGATTATCGAGCAAGTTGCTGCTGCCCATTGATCTGGAGCACAGAAATCGAATTCAAGAATGACTTTATTACCATATCGTAATTGTCAAGGAATTAATTTGAAATGTTTCACGAGTGCCCTCTACTCTCCTCGAGGAATGACACAGCTGGCGGCAATATGCCGAGACCTACTTGGTGTATTTTTTCATGAGCTGCTTGACGATACTGAATGATGGTCGAAGAGCTGGACTCTCGTTCCAGCAGAGTTTCATTAAGGAGAGCAGCTCCTTCGGGCAATCCTCCGGTGTGACATCTGGACGGAAGGGAGGATTGGAACCGAGCTTGACGCGGAAGAGAATCTCTTCCGGGGGCAGGAAATGCCGTGAATACTTCTCGAGGTTCTCGAATGGTCCCGATCGCGTTATGATCTCTTGCATTATGATGGCAAAACTGTATACGTCGCCTTTTTGAGAGCCTCGTCTGAGAGGCAGTTCGTCCCGAAGGTGCTCGGGTGCACACCAGAGCAAGTCCCCTGATAAGAAAAGGAAAACATATTCCGGTGACCCTGTGATCGAGAACGGGCCGGGCCGATGGTATATCCTGACGGGTGACACTCTGAGACTCACGAGGGTCTTCTATCTCTGGAAGGGCGACCTGTCTCCGGAGCTCTCGGAGTCCAAAGTTGGAGATTTTTACCACGAATCGTGCGTCTATGAGACAGGTTGTCGAACGAAGTCTACCGTGCCATCCAATAAAGCTCGAATGGAGGAACCACATTCCCTGTGGGGGAATGATGCATTTTATATCTTTCATGTCTATGGATGTTGGTGCGGCAGATGACAAGAACTCGGCATCCGACCCAACTCGCTTGGGGGGAGATTTTGGCACTCGCTAAGATATTAATTTGGTGCAAGAATAATTTTCCCCTCATTCCCCTGTTCCCTCATGCTGAGCCGTTATTATGCGGCGACGTATAAAATCGTTGAACACGCTCCGTCGGAGTACAAAAGCATAAACCGCGGAATGTCAAGAGCTTGAAGAGGCTCATAAATGTCCAACCTTCCACTCGAGCGGTAACCTACTAATCTCATCAGTTTTTATGTATGTAGCATATATTCAGCAGGCACCAGACGCAATATAACTCGAGTGTCGAACCGCGGATCGAAATTAATCACGGAACTCTAGTTTGCAGGCTCCGGAAGAGAGCTGACCTTCCGTGTGAATGTTCTGCTATCGCGCCCTGCGAAACACCTCCTACCTCAACGATATCATTGATGATGGAGTATCGGAATGTCCAATCCAGACGGAGTGATTCATTTTCTAGGAGATCCTGCAAGATATTTCTCATTTCAGTCGATTCAGGCCTGCATTAGATACTTACAGTGCGGAAGGGGAGACGACGCCCCCTCCCTGGGCGGGAAGCATCAGACGGTTATACAGGATGATAAAAGGATCCCAGACGCACCCTTAAGCTTCCACGTGGAGAAAACTCCATGACGACTCCTACTTGAGGATCTTCCGCTGTTAATCCTATCAGTCGGATGAGGTTTTCGTGTGTCAGATCGCGCATCTGTTTCAGCTCGAGAAGAACTGAGCGGGTTGTTGTGAATTTCGAAATGCGCATGATCCTCACAGCCACCCTCATGCCTTTGTAGATCCCGATATTCACATTACCGAACCGTCCGATGGCCAGACTGTTCTCCACTGATAAACCGGCACCAAATCGCTTTGAAGAAAAAAATGAAAATGTCCATTATGCCACTGGTCGATTCCTATTCCATGTACCGGGGGAAGACATCGCGTGCCATGCAGTTCCACTTTAATTCTCTCGGCACAGAGAGGGATAGATCGAAAATTGTCTCTACGCACTGGTGAGGGTTTCTGTTCCGTTTCCCCGTTGACAGATATCGAGGTTGCAGATTTCCGCTGTTTGTCCGGATAACAGATTTCATCCCATTTTATGTGCCACCAGAGATTAGCCAGTTGCGTCTCCAACTTCATTTTTCTGTGGAAGAGACATTGATGTCATCCGATCGAGAACATTACGAATCGTGCGATTTGAGTCGTGCACTTCCACAGTTACGTAATCCATCGCTAAAGCTCGTAATGAGATTCCCTCGTACCTGTAGAATATGAAAGCAATAACTGCGGCTGCCAGGAAGCCCGCTAACGTGACCACTGTGGTAATGATGAGAAACGTTGAGGACTCTGTAGATGAATCATGAAAGATACTAAAGCACGCTTATCCTCATAACCGGAAGGATGTTCGTATCCGTAATGCACGGGTACCCAGATTGAGTCCAATCGCGCAGCTTTTTTCCGCATTTGCATATTTTTGATTTCGAATACGAAAGGAGCATGAGCGTACCGATCTTGCGACACGAGTTAGATTCGCCGAGGAATCCGCATGGAGGAACGTCCAGGGGCGCGAAGCCCGATATCCAGGAGAATGAGGCGTTTTCTAAAATGCTCACGGTTTTGTCCGACGGACTGTAGACGGCAACCATCTGGAAGAGAAGTCACACTATCTATCAGGATTGTGCGGGGGATGTAGCGCCTCTAATCGGATCTGTAAGCGATGGCGTTCGTGGAGCATCGTAAATTGTGTTAGAAGCGATTGACTCGAGCGGCGGACTCTTTTCGGGCTTGGACTCCCCGAGACATCTCCCCACGTTCTCCCAAGGTCGGTCTACTTGTACCCTGCTCCCCTTCGGACACGCGGTGACCTCTGAGGCATCGGTCACGCGTGAGTCTGGAGCCCGCAAGCCCTGTCTTGTTCTTGTGGAGCTCCTGCTTTACCGGACCTCTCTTCGGAAGATCGAGTTTCTCCAGATTCGGTTCTGCTCGAGCGTATAGAGAGGAGGTCCGGAGATACTTTGAGCCCATGTTTTAAACCAATATTCCCGCTCCTGTCGGGTCATTCGAACATTGCGTGAGAAAATTACGGTGGGCCTAAGCTGCTCGATGAGTTCGACAAGGCAAGTCAGAGTCAATATTCATCCAAGCGAAGGTCGGGAAAATCTGACGGGGGTCCGACTGGGTTCCTATGAAACCCCATTGCCCCCGCAAAGAATAAACATTATATCCTGATCTCGGAGCCGACTTAGTGGCGTCTAGATCTGTCGTCCCTGTCGACGGGAGTTCCTCCTCGCGACTCCGCTTCGTTTCTTCCCCTGGTGACCACCCAAGATAATCTCGAATCCGATTGCCGGCTCAGCGACTCTCTGAAGCCTCTCGAACGTTTGAGACCTTTGCGACGTAGGGAACTCACCTCCATCTCTCCCGTGTCGGGATTGAGGTCGTTGATTGCGTACTCCGCCATTCGATCACCGTTTTTATTGAAATGAAGCATTCCAGTGAGCCCTTGGGAAATGAATAAGACCGCGGTCAATCCCCGAGGATCCCGAGGCGGACAGCCAGCACTCTTCGAAAGGTTTCCGTTCAAACTCACCTTTTCGAGTCGAGTTGAGAATTTCATTGATAAGGTGTCTCCCGTCAAGAGGATCTTTTCGCTCAGTCAAGGTTCTGTTCACGGCCCATGCATAGAGCTGCACGCAATCATAAAAGCCCGCCAGTAGGACGTTGATCTGAAATACGGAAAGAAGTCAACACGCCAACCGATCACATCAGGAAAAAACTGAAGAACATTCCATTCTCTTCAGGCCTCATTCTACATAATATACCTAATCGCTTCTCCTGACAACGGGGCAGCTGAGCAGACATTTGGTGTCGTCGGCTAGGGGATAGGAGATATGTATATTTTTCCGGGAGTTAGAGAATTCTTATCGTTTTGTCGGATAACTTATATTCTCGATAGGATCTCGGGTGAGGGACGCGATTCGTTCAACTCTACCTAAAACCTGAGCACTATTGAAGCACGCGGAGTCGCGAGCTCCAAGCCCGGGTAGGATCATGGGACTCGGGCAGAGGTCCCAGAGAGTATTTCTTCCGTGCACGGTGATATATTAAAGTCGATTCCGTTACTTCCGTTCCCCGATGCAAAAATGCAATTTCGAGCGCATCGCGTTGACAGCGATCATTGCCCGGCGCCAAGTTATATAACCGGTCTCAGGAGTCCACAGGCTGATATTGGGAGTTCGGAGGATTATGAGAAACTGTCTACTCGGATCTGTTTGATCGCCAGTCCTTCGACGCATTTTAGATGGAGATGCGCTTGATATACGAATGAGCATACGGTCAAGCCGGAGGAGATGTTAGTGCTATTTCGTCGGGAATCCGTCGAACCCGGAGCTCGACCTCATGCCTCACGCGGGAAGAGTACTTGGGGGATTTCCCAAGGTTCTGTCAAAGTGATTTTGCGTGGGAATGCTCATGTCATCGGACAGGACGTAGGAGAGCCGAGGACACGCGCAGCCCCGGGGCGTCAAGAGCTGACTTGTCGATCTCCCTATTTCGTGATTCGTGACCCCTGTGGAGGTAGCAAACTCCCATGGGCGAGGAGTTTCAGGGAAATTCAAATCGGGTCGAGGGAGATGCGTCTGAATCGAATTTAGTCGGATTAAAAGTCACGATTCGGATGCATGACGGTATTTCCTGTCGACAACCCCAGTGATTGATGATAATCCTTCAGAGTCGATCTATCTATCTATGGCCGGGGCTTCATTATCACGTCTGGATAATGACTCAGTGATAATCAATCACGGAGCTTTCGAGCTGTTGCGTATCAAAGAGGACCCCAACGAACAGCGAGTATCCGCGAACCATCATTGGCGCGTGTGTCTACGAACGTTGGCGCCCATGGTCTCATACCCGACGTGCTCAGGCCTAGCAGAAGTATAGAAATCGTTATCGACGTCGACAGGGAGCTCATGGGCTGGAAAGCAGACCGCTCCGAAAGCATCACAGAATTGGGCTCGCACTCCTCTCTTGCGTCTGGGACCCTAATGCAGCTGGATTACTCACGATCGATTTATCAATACTGGCGTCTTGCTCGGCTTGACTCTTGAGCACGACTTTATCAACGAAGTTGACATACTCAGCGCTCGGAGAAATGTTCAATGAGATGACTAGAAGCTGCTCATACATCTTCCTCGCGTCCTGAAAAATACAACTCTTACTCGAGATATCGACTAAAGACAAAGAACTGAAGCTCGCCTCCCGCGGATGTTCTCCGACATGCAACGTGTTTCGGGAGATCTATGGGACGCACGGGCGCAGTCGATCATTGGGAGGAATACCTCAAGTCTCTCAATAGGAGCCCCTTCCGCCCCGGATTCTTGAAACCGGAGATTGAATAGTGCAAGTTGTATGAAATGAGTGGATACAGATTTCATCGAGATTGCTGCTATCGTGTTTTGGTCGCCGATCTTTGGATCGAGAGTTCGCTCTCAATGCCCGTCCCGCTATCTCATTTCAGCTTGTTTGCTGTCTTGATCGATTTTAAACCCCTCTCCAATAGAAACCCCTCCGCCGGGGGTTTTGAAGAAATATAAGTTCGGGCCTCTATTGGGTTATATACGGTAATCTTCGCTCTGGGATATTACCTCGTTTCTACTGTCGCCCGGGACGTTCCAAGCGAAATCACCGAAGTACCTCACGTTCTTGTAGGGCTTGGCCGCGATGAAGGCGTATTCACCGTTTCCCATGCCGAGATCGAACGCTCTCAGCATTATTTGTCGCAGAACGATGCCGTCCACTCCGAGGAGGAACACTTCCCGTAGCATGGGGGATAGAGATGAATCAGATAAGCCGATCAAGATTTTCGTGCATAATCGTTTATGAAGAAAGAGTTCGAGGCAGGCCGAGAGTTTCTTCTGGACTAGGGTCCACGCGAGGGAATCACAGAACTCAGCGTGGAGATCAGGATCCGGTAGGATTCGTCGGAAAGGACGGAGAAACCGCTCGAAAGGAACAACCTTTGTAGAAGAGAGGTCAACGATTTTTTGATGGTCACAATCCTGGATTAGTGAGTTCCGCTCGCAGCCATAAAGATTGCGAGCAAAGCGGATACCGAAAAGGAAGAAGGAATCTACCAGCTTAGAGGCCTAAAGAATACCTCGCTGTCGTCATATGTCGCTCGCGGGTCAGCGAGGAAACGATCTTCTGATCGGACGGAATACCTCTCCTCCTATAAACCATTGCCATCACAGCCGAGTCAAAACCCAAGCGACCGACGTTGCTGAGGTCGGTCGCTGAGTAGTTGGAGAGCTTGTGGTGTTGCATTTCATCCCTCGGTCCCAGCAGAAAAAGATGAAGAGACGACAATGGAGGACAACAAGAAGTGTTATCTTACCTCGACCATGGGCTCGTCCTTCGAGCAAGAGGTTCGTGTAGTCCGGCTGTTTCTTGGACTCGAACTCGCGGGTAAATCTTGTCAGATTGTATCCATCTCTTTGAAAGTTGCTCATTATCGGATTGAGAGCTTTGTGGAGCTGTCTGAAGAACGTTTGCGACGAATCGCTTAAAATCACGACATGGTGCCAATTGAAGAACTTGATCACCTGGGAAACGGAGAGAATAGAGCGTAATCTATTCCATCTCTCCTGCCGCTGCGGGAGCACGAGGATTCCAGGTCTGGACTTCAGGCTCAAGCTTATCCCCCGGCTCACTCCCGAGATCAGTCTATGTATTCGAATTCTTGGGGTTTTCGCTCGGGTGGGGGCCCCTCGCGTGGGCTGATTGCGCTGTTTCCCCGCGCTCCGAACCCCGGCCGACGGCGCGGCGCCGACGCGCTGACAGCTGGAGATTTCTGCTTGGAAACTCGCGATGCAGCAAGTTTCGACGATGAGCTCCGGAGCCGAGCCGTGCGTACCGGCGGAACGCCAGCTCTGAACGAGTCAAGGGGAGCACGCACGCTGGGTAAAGCCAGATAGCACGTAGATTGAGTATATACTTACGTGGGTAATAGCGTCCCCCAAGGTGTTTATGGTCAAGGCGAGCCTGAGCAGAGTCGAGTAAACCGTCCGGTCCTCGAACTGAGCGTTCACTCCAGCTGCCGTGCAAACCGGAATGTTCCAAAAGGACGCAAGGCGACCCACGATATCGACGGCGGCCGAGCAGCCTAGAACGAAATACCTGAGTCAGAACAGCCGAGTTGAGAACATTCGTAGCAGAGACTTCGGGTGATTCAGCAAGTCGATACCGGAGACGCGAAATCGCAGAATGGCTCTGAATGGAATGGACCGACTTCTCTCCATATTGGTTCGAGCGAGCCCCTAGGGTATTGCCTCCGGAAAACTGTCTCGAGTGCAGATTAGCAGTAGCGATACGTCCGGCTACGGGAACATACCTCCGAGTGGGATATTGGATGTGCGAGTTGTGCATATGCGCGGAATTTCAGACCCTGGGAAATATCCCTACATATATTGTTCGGTAGATCTTCGTGCTCTGAGCGCCAAAATAAGAGAGTCTGCTCGAGACAGCCAGCGGGACCGAAAGCTTGGCGATATGATTTCGTTCCTACGTGCAATACAAAGATCGAGGACCTAACTAGATTGTGTTCGGAATTCTGATCACTCGCATATCTTTCGCATTGTCCAAAAATCGCCGGCGGCTCGAGACACAGCGGCCCTGGCAACCATCAACGCGCTCGCAATAACGAGTAAAAAATAGAGCGAGCATCGCTGCATACGTTGTCTCGTCCGATCTAAACCGAAAAGCGTGAAGCTCATTATACCAATTTCGGTATGACGTTCTTGTAAAATAGGTATGGCAGAACCTTTTTTTTACAGGAGAACCTTGGAGGGCGTCTCCACGAGGGACGCGCGGGGAATTCGCTTTCAACTCGAGAGCGAGAGGTCGGAGGTTGAAGCCAAGGTCAACACGGGGTGAAGGCTCATTATTCACTCACTTCTTCCTAATGCTGTATTCACGCCCGTCGAATATTCGCTCATTTCAGTAAGTCCCTGGGTGTTGACTGATCCTTATTGTTTCAGAAAGTCTATTGTCGCCTCATATATTTTAAACAATGCTTCGGTTTTTCCATTTTCGATATTTTTCAACAGGACTTGAACGATCTCAGCATTCATCGTGGGCCAGAACAAATCTCTGTGAGAACCGCGAGACGCGAGACAGATGGACTGTATGGTACGTGATCGACCGAATCTTCTTTCTGATTCCGTTCGAAGTTCCATTGGCTTTTCGCCTGAACCACTGGCTGACGAACGTAGAAATCAGGCGTCTTCGCGAAGATTTCTGCGCAAGAAAGGAAAGCGCCGAGATGACGGTCGGCGGCCCAGTGTTTCGAAGATTTCCCAGATGCGCGATCCCCGCTCTGATATCAGAAGCGGATACGGGGGAAGCAGAATTGGTCGGGGCCTTGCGAAAAGATATGGCGAAAAATCTTCGCAGAGCGTCATAGGAAACGTTTAACGTATTGCGCTTGCTCAGCTGCATCCCATGAAAGACGAAAACCATTGCGATATTGAATACGCTGCGCCGTGCTTGAGCGTCGGCTCCGAGCCGACCCAAAGCGTCGTCGGGAATAACGAGGCTCGTTTTCGTAGTTCGTTTTCCTTATCTATCTATTCGACCTTGGTTTGATCGAATCAGCTACGCTCGCTGCGAAGCTAGCTTGTCGATCCGTTGTGATTGCCGGAACGATGGGGTCCATCATAGTACCCATCCGAATGTTAGAGAAGACGGCCCGCTCCTCACTCACCGGGTCCGATGAAAGCCGTAGCCCCGTCGTTTCCGTGATACTCTTCAGCTGCCATATTCCCCGCGTGGTTGGCCTGACATGACACGTAACCCCGACGGTGGGTGATTTGAAATCTGATGTTCTTGTATTTCTCGCTCACCTGCAAGAGAGGAGTTTCACTCATCGGCAGTCGCAGATAGTGTCGAAGAGAAAACCTCGACTTACGCCACGGAGGAAAGAACTACTGAAAGAGATAACTTCTTGTCAGAAATATCGCTCTTCTTGTCTACGGGTCGATTCGCTCTGTTTCCAGCGAGTTCCTCCACGAATTACCGGATGGGCTCAACGGTGGAATCCTATTCTTCGCACCGTGAAGTACTTCGCTAGCGGCTTGCGGACAGCCGCTCGAGACTAGGTCGGCTGGAATTTGGCTCCCACTGAGATTGTAGCCTCCCAGCGTCGTCTCGGTGTCAGTCGTCCGTCTCCAACAACTTCATCCAATCACCGAAAGCCGGCGTACAGCCTTCACCATCCATCTTGAGTCCCACCAGCCCTCGATCATTACTTTCTATTTATTTCCGCTCGAGAGAAAATGTCTCGAACGTCGGTCTTTTTTCTCGGTCAACAATGCATGCTCTCATGGAGAGGCTGCCGAGAGGCTCCCGTCCCGTGATCCCCTCAGTCGACCCACAAATATTTTCAGCATCTCAATTTCGGGGTCAGACGCTCGTCTGTGTTTTGCCGATATTTGTGAGATAACTCATTTAAGACCGAAGTCCACGGAACCAGGATGGGAATCACTTAGCCCAGCAACAAAACAAGTCCTCAAGCTTTCAAATATCAATAAAAACAACCTTACGACTGACCATCGTCGATTTCGCAATGACTCCGAAAGATTAGGAGATTTCGTTCACGTAACGATCGGACGTCCCGACGGGAATAGGCTACGCAGACGAAGGGAACACTTCGGCCCGACTTTTCCTATCTCAAACTCGATTTCTCAAGATGATGTTGATCGAAACGTTACTTCCTCTGTGACCGAATTGATTATTGAAATAGTTAGCGCCAATCCCAAAATCGATGGATGTCTGATACCACGATGTATTTTCCGAGCAGATACCGATTATCCATTTCTTAATGGAGCACGACCCATATATAGGTCACTCAGCCTGATTCTATTATTAAAACGCCCCGTTCAATCTCTTTCCGCAGCAAATTAGAAAATGGCCCGCGGCTCTGTGTAAAGGAACAAGAAAGAGTTTACTCTCGATATATCTCTCTCGAGCTGTCATCTGGCGAACAAAGCACCCCCGAACAATTTCGGGCGTCCAATTGATTTCAAAAATAGCTCCCAGAGCAGTCGATCCACGGAACAGTGAAGAACTTCTGGTGGTGTAGAAGGATCCTTGGTGAAAGACCCCCACATGCACGCCGTCGGGCACAGCCCCTAAACAACCCTCACCGTTAAGTCCGTGGCTCCAGCAGCGCGCATTTTAGCGACAGATCCAGCTGAGCAGTGAGTCGGACCTGTGTCTGGGTTTTCGGTGCTTCGATCAATCGCCTGACGTTACGTCTGCTCGTTCGCCCCCTCTGAAAGAGCTCTACGACAGAGGGGAGGACTCTCACAGTGGGGAGCTGTTCAGCGTAGTTTGAAGCACACTCTGATCCGCGTATGATCGAGTTCTCGGTTCAATCCCGGTGCGGCCTTTTTTGGAATAAACGGCAAACGTCAGCGTGAACGGACACTCCGCGCGAGGACTATCGACGATCAGAAAACATTGCTCTGAGGATACGCCGGGTGACAATCTTCCGAGGACGCCGGTCAATCCTGATCAGGAGGTTGGTGGGAACGAGTGGTCCCTTTTTCCTAGGATACCTCGTTGGGATACGTGCGAGTTTTCTTCCTGGAGCAAAAGCTCTGAGCCTGACGCGACGCGGGCTGTACTCACATGGAATTGGGAATCCCAGTTCCGAGTACGCAGGAAGCGAACAGAAAGGCCATCGATTGCAGTTTGCAATCGTGAGTGACATTTGTACTGAGCCGAGGCCCGCTCGTCAAGGCTCGCATTTCATTCGATACACGCGAATAGAAGATTTCGGGAACGCCTCTCCGATGCTTGAGAAACCGCCGGGGCAATAGTTGCTTCGGAATTCCCGTGGAAGATGCTGGAAAATCGCTGGATTCAGCTTGCATTCAGTAGCCTACATAAGGGGAACTGAACGATTGACGGTATGCGTCAACGCGTTTCCGTCCTTGTACTTGACTTCCTTTTCACTGTCTTCACTGCCATCGGAAACCGAGCAGGAGTAAATTAGATTTAGGTCCACGAGGAGCCGTCCAATTTGCACGGGAGCGACCCCGACGGCAATAATAAAGGGAGCAACAGCGTACGAAGCATTCTGAATAATTATTCATGATGACGTCGCCGACAAACTAATCCTTCGTGAAGAAAAATTACCGAAATGTGGTCTGGCCGAGTTTCATGCTCACGCGAGAAAAGAGTGGCGAATGACATTTCGAGACGAGGGAAAACAATTTTCGTATTTGCTCTATGCCAACGTGGTTCGCAAAGCGGCCCGACCGGTGCTCACCCCATTGATCAAAACTAGAAGGAACCGTGGGGAAAACCGTAAAAATTCGAAAACAATTTTCGGGCCATATTCGAACCAGTAGCTCGCGTGTCCGCGCCCCAGCGTTGTTGGCACTTCCTCTAGTAGCTTCAACGAGGTTGGGAAAGATTTTGTGAAGGGATTTCTCAGGGGGAGAAACGTCGTTTCACGATTGAATGAGCGAACAAGGGAGCGAACAGGAACGAAGAAACCTTCTACATCTGGGACTGTCGAAGACCCAGTGATCAAATAGCATTTATTTTTAACACAGTCGCTCGAAAGCAGAGAAAATTTCCGGACTGCTGAAGAATTCGGTGCGCGACCGGTCCGAAATCTCTCATTGAAATTCAACGACGTGATTCGTCACGAGCCACGTGACCGGCAGCGATTCCGTTCGAGCGAGCAATCACTTTCCGTTGCTGCTTTAATCTTGGAGTTCATTCATTGCGGAGAGGATCTCTGTGGATTGGTCAGGCTATATCCGACGCGTCTCATTTGCACCTATGAGTAATCGCGGAGATATTGACCTCCAGTCGCCGCTCATCGCGCAGAAGCGAGAGAGATCTGTCATAATCCGGACTGCCGAAGAACAGCTGTCAAATTCGATGAACGGTCAGGCTCCTTCCGGCGAATCCGAATTCCCTGGATCTACTTCCTGAAGTCTCAGATTTCGGCATCGCTCTATCGTGTGGCGAATCTACCAATCGACTGAATGATGCCATGAAACGATTCGCTTGATTTCACAGGAAAGTTCTAAACGTCAGAGACCCAAGCGAGCTGCTCGCTGGATGAACGCAACTTAGCATTTGTTTTCTTTCATTTGATCAGATAGACGGAGTTGCGCTGGCATTTCTTAGTGAACGCCACGTAAATAGCAAAACAATCGCATGAATGAATAATTCTCCCGATAAGGGAAAGTCAGCGATAAGAGGAACTTTCGTAGGTTTCGCTTGCAAGAACGATTGAAGTTCGCTGAGCAGTCATCAAATTCTGGCCGTATCTTCAGGGTGTGCCAATCAAGCTATCGGAGAAGTTCACGAGCTATCGAGCTATCAAGCCCGGAGACTGGTTTGAGAGGCAGGCGAAAACCGGAGAAAAACTGTGATTTATCCTGAAGGGAAGAGTCCGAATTCTCGAACAAAAAGATACAAAACGAGTCGACCGTCAAATATCTTGCACTGTAAATGTTTTCGTTTTCTCTATTCTCGAAAACCACAAGGGGCATTTCTGGGGCCATTTGTTCAGCTGAAACCATCTTCCAACCTTGCGTGATGAAAGGACATCGTCCGAAAATGAAATTCTGTGCGCGTCGGACAATGTCATCATTGTCGAGCTTACACTTCTGTGCAATGTGATGATCACGACATCAGAAATCAGTTTATTTCCGACAAAACACCGTCGCAGTGGCCGCAGCGATATCGTCGTATATCAACAATACCTAATGTTTTCGGCCTCGGCATTCCAATCGATCCTCTGAAAGAACTTGGTGTTTTCTTTGCATTGCAGATATCGCAGGCCAGAGTCCCGCAAGGCATCAAGAGTGGAGCCTCATAAGAGATGATTAAAGCTGGACGTTTGCGGTTGAGTGTCTGAGGCATAAATTGCGAGAGCACACACGAGCGCCAGGATGCACTTTCGGGAAGCGCAACAGAACCATCCGGTGAGGATCTCTAAGCTGATCCGATTTCAGGTTTGACAGACAAAGATCAATTTCGCGGATTTTCAGCTGCAGATCACTCACTGCGAAGAGCACAGACTCTCTTTATTTCGAGCAAATGAGCAAGCTCACTAATGTTCCTGTTTAATTTTCCTTCATAAGTCACCCGACAGCCACGGTGCTCTCTTGTATCAGTGGCTGGAAGGAGAATTTTCTGCACAGATAAAAATTCAGTCCCCGAAAAACTTTTCGACTGAGACCTTCTCACGCCGCAATCTTATCACTTATTAGGTGGAACTGGCGATGTATTGTAGTTTTTAATGCCCAGAGATCTGAAAACATCCACTGAAACGGTTTTCTGACAAAGTGGATCAAGGGAAACGATAAGATCGATCGTTTCGTGTGACATTGCCGTCTGCGAAAGTAGAGAGAGGGAGAAATCCGAGATCCGGGCCTTCGACTCTTATCCGCAGAAAAATTCCTCTCATCAGCTGATGAGTTCGTTCGGCGAGAAATGGGAGGAAATCTCCGTTAGGGCGAACGGATCAGAGGTCTGACGGCTCACAAGGGACGCTGCCCGATGGAACGGACTACTACTCCCTCCGAAAGGGATCCACCCCTCCTCAGATATCTTCCGTATCGAGTGACATTCGCTTCTCTGCATCAACTACTCTGATTCCACAATCCTTCTCAGGCGGACACTAGGAATTTTTTTCTTGACATAGCATCCAAGTCATGCCGATCAAGTCTCGCAACAAGTAGAATATCGGCGGAATGATTTTTTTTAGATTGTCGAGATTTCCTCGCGAAGCTGAGTTCAGCCGCATTTTTCGAATTGACTCGGCAGGGACCCGAAGCGCGGACCCTGTCATTTTCGCGAAATGGGAAGAAAGTTGTGGTGCCGTATTTCGGATCACCATCGTAGACAGTCGACCAATGCGAACGAAATGAGCCTGGAAGGATCTTGTAGAAGCGCGGACGATGTCGTCATCCCCATCGAAGCAATCACCGCTCCCTCCCCTTCCCCGTCTCCGAAATTAGCAGCCACAGCGGCTAGAACGGCGACGCCGCTGCAGCCATCATAGTTGCTGCAGCACTGCGTCAATGGTTGCCACCTCGCGGAAAACAACCTTTGTTTGACGGTAGCGAACGTACGATTACACAAGTTTCATTTTGTTTCATGACTTGTATCGTCGATACGCGATGAGCGCTGCTGCGTGAAGTCAAGCAATCAGACGATTCCACGCACGCTTTCGTGCGAGGCTGACTTTTTTGATTCAGTCAGGCGCTCGATAAGTCCGACTTAGATTTAGCATGGAGGAGCGTCTCTTCTCCACACACTTCGGACGCCGCGCCGGGGAGCCGCGAAAGCGACTCGCTCCAAATGAAGGGAGAACCTTGCCAGAAAATCCGCAAAATCCGCCAGCAGTCCCTTCGGTCAGTTGATACAGAACTTAACAAATTTAATCTCTTCCAGCCCATCGACTTCGAATCGTTCGAAGCTCGATTGGCCCTGACAGGAACACTCGTCATGGTGATTGTCGTCGGAATTTGGGCAGCAGTTGCTTTCTATTGTTTCATAAAGCACGAAAAGAAGAGACTCAAACTCGAGAAGCTCAACAAAACAACGCAGCTTTGAGGTGAATTTTCTGCCGAGATGCCTCTCCGTGAATAGAGGGGGAATGTTTTGAGGTTCGGAGGAGAGTAGGTACACAGAAAAAAATACTGAGGTATATCCAAGGCTTCACGTAACTTCAGTTTCTTTCAACGAGTGGCCTCTACTGTGAAAGATGACGCCAGAAAGAAAATGCCTCGGGAGAACGCCAAGCGTTCTGATACGATCGAGGAATACCTCGTATCTGATAAATTACTTCACAGTGTCGTCAATGGGACTCCGGCAAGCTTTGTACTACCACGTTCGCGCGTTCCAGACGTCGCGCAGCCGATGAGAATGTCCCTTCTTCCAGCGCAGTTCTGGTGGCATTGGGGTGGAATTGCAACGAATGCGAACCGCCGTACAGAATTCCGACAGAATCGTTACGGTGCGCCGTTACAAGAGCCCGGTACAAAAGATCTATGCCGACAGTGGCCTCGTGGAATCATATACGGTACCTGAAAATGACTTCGCCCAAGCGTTCGACAGAAATAAAACTTTCCCTATTTAGATTTTGCTACAGATGATTGAATGTCCGACTGAGTCCTGATCGGCGTCGGTCACCCACTCATTACAGCGCAGTTTCTAGACCTAGTGCCAAACAGTCCAATAAATCCGAAAATCACGATCAAGAGCTGACGTTGCTTGTTCTCATTCTCTGGTAAAGTGAGTGGGGTCTCCAATTCGACCCATCCGAAAATGAGCTGTTCTCATTCTTTCCCCTCTTCTAGAAATTTCCTGAGTAATGACTCATAAAATCAGAGACCAGATGGCTCTGACCAACTCCAGATGGGAGAGCAGCGACTGCCAGAGCTCTCGACTTCTCCCTCGGGATTCCTCCTCTCAGAGAAAGCAGGTGGAAGAAAATGTTTCGAAGCTCGCGGGCTCGAAAGCCGGGGAGATAAGGAGGAGCCAAGTGAGCAATCAGAGCGAATTCGGAGCAGAGCTGGGAAGCCGATCAAAGTCGGTTTCGGCTTAAGCTTCGAGATTCGGTCGCCCAGCGAACACCCTGCCCGCAACAGGACGCGCGGTTCCGTTGTGACCGACATGCGACAGGCTCCAGATCGTCAGTCGCGTCATCGTCGTCCACAGGAAAAACGTTGCCACCACCTTGGTTGGGGATTCGCAACGCGCTCCTGACTGAGCCTCAGGCATCGGGTTTTTTTCGGCGCGAAGTGGATTTCAGGTGCGGGAAAACATGTGGTAAGAAAGAAATTCACCGAGCCAAGAGCGGTCACCATGACGTAAAACTCTCGCAACGGTGAAACGAATCGATGAGAAGACTAATTATTATTTAAAGCTCATGAACATGGCGGCGGATACGATAACGACGAAGCGGGATCGGATCGCATGCTGCTTCTGCGTTCTGCTCCCATTCTCACTGCATCTTCGCTCCCGAACTTTTCGCGGTTACGGCTCGGATATTCGTGCTTCCTTCTCCGAGTCTTAAATCGTCCGGAGTGTTGTGTTCTGTAAGAACAGCAGAACTCGGCTCGCCAGAGGCAATAATGCTTCGCTGACTGAGTGTTTCTTCTATCTCACGTGAAGAAAAACAGAAAAACTGATTGGACAAGGGTGTTCACTGCTCAGGTCTGAACATGTTTTTGACCACGTACCGATTTCAAGCATAAAAATTGGCGTTCTGAACGGTTTTCAGAAAGCGATGCCCAGAAAATACTGCAGGTCGAGACGTCCGATCGAGGGGAGCCGTAGCGCTTGATTCCGAAGTTTAAAGAATGAGTACGGGGCGGATGGCCGCTTTTCTTCCCCCATGAAGTGGAACAGAGTGGGTCTCATTATTCTTCCGAGAGGTCAGCAGTCCTTGTCAACGCTATCAGATTCGAAATCGAATCCGGGATGACATGCCCAACGGAAACATCGCGCTGGAATTCCCCACTTGACGATTTGCCCGAGATGTTGTCACCCGTCAGACCAAAACATAGGCGGCGGACGGATCCAGGGAGCAAATTTATCCGGGCGTATAGGAGCCAGGAATGCACGGGAATGTCGCTCCTGATTCGACCATCGTTGCTTCTTTGAGTGAAGTCTACAGAATTGAATGCCTCTTCCCCTAATGAACGCCGGACGCGCGAAACCTCGATTTCGCTTCCCAGAATTCAGCTGGCCCGTTCTCCAGCTCCCTATAAGCTCACGAGGTTTTCTGTGCCGTTCTGGGAAAGATACCGAGATTCTAAACAGCTGACCGCTTCGCAGTGCGCGGTCCTTCAGCAGCTCCCTCTCTCCTATCGAAGAATCCCAAACACGCACGAGGAGGCGAACACTGTGTCCTGGTTAGGCGATTCATAACAGTCGAACTCGCGCGTCCACAGCGTGAGAGCGCAAACCCAAGAAAAAGGTGATTCTAGCTTTAAACTTCGTCCATTAGCAAGTCAGGATGCGGAATATCATTGAAGAGTTCCTCCGACCACAATCACCTGTGTGGCCGGAGGTCAAGCTTTTTTTGAGTTTGTGTAAGACCGGTGCCCAAACGCTTCCCATGGAAGTGCAAGTGGCGAATATTATGAACGTCCGCAGAGGATTGAAGAGGTTGAGTCGTATACGCGGTGACGATGATCCTCTGGAGGTCCAAGCTTTATTTCAATGGATAAACGATCGATGTGAAATCGCTGGCGCGTTTTGTCTCCAGAGATTGAAGATCGGACATCAGGTATGTTGAACGAACTCTTTAGAACGAACCCCATGCCGAGAGGAGCTGGTGTCCATCCGGGGATTGGAGAAAACTCGCGGGAGAGCTTCGCTCCCTGGTCGGGGTACCGAGATGAAGCTCGAACAGTCGGCTGACCGGTCTGATTTCCAGGTCAGCTGGATATGTGCCTTGTTGGCAAGTATCGCTCGTATCCGACAATTTTTCTTTGAAGTCCTAGAGAAGATGAAGAGCAGAAGCGCGAAGCGAAAGCTGGACTCTGTAGATACGGGAACCCCTCTGGACAGAAGCGCCTTCAACAAAATTCGGAAAACCTCCGATGACCGAGTCCGTGAGTATTGGGTCGGAGTTTCCTTGGCGGAAGAGGAGCGACGGAGCCGGACCGATCCGCTCGACCTTGAGCACTGAGTGATTCAGTCAGCGTTTTGTAACGTGTCGTTCGCGGGGTCCATCCGAGATCAATCGTGAACAGAACGCGGATCCTCCATGTACTGTACTGTACTGTAGGCCGAAATCTTGGATCCGAGATCGCCGCGCCGGTTCTTTTGGCCCTTCGTGCTTTGCAAGAACTGTGCCGACTATCCCGATGCGGGCTGTCTACCACGCCCATACATTTCACTCCGGGAAGGTCCCCCTGTCCCTCCATTATGAGCCGGGATTCCCCGTTGCGGGCGACCTCGATGAAGGCCGGGGAGGAACAAAAGCCCCGCCGTATTTCGTTTGCTCACCGCATGAAATCAGCGTTCTGATCATGAGACTTCGGAGGCATTAGAGCTCGTCAAAATCGACTCCTGGTTTCGCACTAAATGACTGGCCCTTCAACCGCAGCTCCGACGGCCCCCTCAACTCCCACGGACTCGCTAAAAATCGAAGCTTCATGTACCCAGAGGACGACATGCGAAGCCGCGAGAAAACACACATCAGCATTAGCGGCGCAATCGAGTGAGCCGTTGGATTCACGGCGTCGCGAATCGAAAACAGGAGATGGATCCGAGAGAACCAACGACATCGCAGCCGTGAAAAAACACCCACTAATGGTCAAACTGAAAACCGACATCAAGAACTTGATAGACGCTCATACGGATGCTGACAAAAAAGCCTCACTGAAGAAAGTTTACGGTATCGCACTCAAGAGATCTCTAGCTCTGCCTGTGACAGATGAGAGCATCAAGAAAATTTATAAACTCGCCATGAGAAAAGCAAGATCGTATTGCGAGTGAAGATACCACCTCACCGGATTCCAGTCAGAACGCACTGGAACCGATTGTCCTCGCCAGGGGTTCCCCGTCGGGGATTGTTCGAATAGTTCATTGTTAAGGCTGGGAATAATTCACGGCATTTTTCCCGAAAATTCACGGCAATTCTCACCCCCCATTGACTTCCTATGGAGGATCGCCTGAGAATACCGTGAAAATTCACGGCTTTTGGCGCGATCGCGTCAACTTCCCAGCCCTATTCATTGTATCTGCATCCAAATTACTTGTTGATTATCGCTTGCCATGGAGTCGGTGGAAGGGCTATGCGATAGCGAATAAAGTCAGGCAGAGGTCACTATGCTCGACGAGGTTCAAGTTCTCCCAGTGATAATTGAAAGGAGGAGTCGGCGCCGCGATTCTCTCCTCCCGGAGTCGGGAGGACTCTTTCTTGAGGGAAAGCAGAATTCAGTGCAAAATCAAGCAAACCCTGATTAGGTAGCGACTCTTTCGATGTAAAGTGTACATTATATGTATGTAGATACTATCTACAGATAGCGTGGTATCGCACAAGCCTAGGTGTTGTTTTGGAATCGAAAAGAGCGACCTCTTTGTCGATTTCTCTGGTGGTAGAAGAATAAATGAGTCCGTCGCCAAGGAAGCGCTCTCAAGGTTTCCCTTTCGATTTTTGAATGCGAGAAATACGGAGGAGGCCAACGTTTCACGTGGGAGCTGAAGATTCTTTCTCCCTTGAAGGTCGTGCGACTCGAACATGGGTCTCTTTCTGGAGAGAATCGTCCCAGTGATCGGCATCCTGGGCATACCCATGGCTTGGTATGGGTTCCAAAAGGTAGGAAATGGTCAAGGCTCCTCCCAAATCTACCGGCTAATCAATCGAGACTCATTCGAGAGTTTTGGAATTAACAACAGCCTCGCTTTTTCCGCGCCCCATCTGATGCTTTTCTCTTTTCTGAGCTCAGGCGTTTGTACCAGGAGAGGCGCACCCGATGGTGGAGACAATGGACGCTTTCTTCATGAAACTGGGGATCATCCAGGCGGACGAAAGCAAAAAAGAAGACAAGACCTCGCAGACCCGAAATTAGCTTGCCATAGGAATTCAATAAAGACTATATTTCAACAGCGATCATTCTCTGCCAAAGGAGTGGGAATCAATCAGATTGATACCCGTTCGTACTCCCTCTGTGACGCAACTTCCTTTCTCTGCGGAGTGGGAAAAATTTTCGCCGCCCTAAGGGATGGGGTCTCTGCATATTCGATATGCGCGATGCACCTCTAGGTATTACACATTCTCAGGAGGGTCCGGGCATTTACGGGGAATGTATCACAGTGCGTTTGAAACGAATGAATTCCCGATCGCTGCTCGCCGGGACCCTACAAAGGAGCGGATGATGCATATATTGAGCGTTTAATGAGAGAGAGGTCCGGTGTGTCAGAAGTTTACATCGAGAGGATCTCTTAGCTGGCTTAAGCACGTTCGCCTTCTCCCAACAAATTCCGTACATTACTCGGTAACTGTCGGTCTGGTGAGGAGCGTGCGCAGCATGCCTCACTCGGGAGCTCCGTCCATTATTTTTTTTCGAAGCGGGATCTGTCGAGAGCGCACTCGCTCCGAATGCTCGATCGGATGGAAAAGCTGACCTGTCATCGAAGCTGAGGATTTTCATGACGGAAGAAGGTAAGAATGGGATCGACGAGGGAGAACGTTCTTGACAGTTCTGATCTCCTGCATGGAGTCAGGAGCTCGAGATCTACATGGAGTTGGTAATTCTCCGCCGCGTGTAGTCAGGACGGAATCGCAAATTTATATGCCAGGACCGAGAGGACTCAAGTCGAACATGAAAGGACCGTAGAGACTCGAGATCGCGAGCTATTCAACTGATGATCGAGCTTCCCGAGTCGTGAGCTTCCTCATCAAGCTCAAGTTACGAACCTCCTCAGGGACTGTTCCCATTTCGACCCTAATAGCCCTCAGACGATGCTCTATTGGAAAGGAGAGACCCCGAGGATCAGATTCGTGGGGATTTCGAGCGGCGTTCTTCTCTGTATGAGAGCCTTGGTCACTCGCTCATGAATAGATTGTATGACCCTTATGAGACTTCCCGGCTTCGTACGAAAGTCTAACAATGTTTTCTGGAGAGCAACCCGTGCCCCTCATGATCGGAGACAAATCCTTTTATAACGATGGACGAAACTGTTCGCGTGCCATTTCCAGCCACTCGATAGATATTCCGAACTCGAGTCCTCTCCAGGGGATTCCCAGGAAGCTCAGCCAGACCGTCGAGGCTCCTTCGCCCTTCATTACTCCCGCTGGCATTCACTACGAGCTCGTCGATGCACACGTAATCTCGCCTTGAAGGTTGTTTTGGAACGTCGATTGCCTGTGCAGCTCCAAGCCTCTCGAACAATTACGGTCCTTGCTGAGCTTTCATGATGGATGTATTCACCGTGAACATCCGGTACATCTTGGAGGATATCCTTTCGAATGAGAGGAAGTTTTTCTCCATGAACAATATTCCTGATACGGAGAGGAGGCTCCCATGCCATAATTCTACTCTTCCTTTGGCCACATGAAGTGTGAGGCTGAATTCGCAGATTTTTGGGGAGGAAATCTGTGTCGGCGATTAGGAGTGCTGCAAACGAGTTTCGGCCTATGGAAGCGGTTGGAAGTGGAGAGGCTAGGTAGAGAGGCAGGATGCGTGGGCTTCTCTACGGAACAATGGTTTTGACTGATTTTCCTCAGGTGCCGGGGAATTCTCGAGCTTCTCCTCACTTCCACCAGTCTGGATATTTACTGTCGAGCCTATCTAACCCGGGCGCCCCATCCGAGACGGAGAAGCGAAAGGAGGAATGCCTAGGAGCAGAACCGAAGATTCAGACTGTGAGAGTTTCGTAGAGAGCTTCTTGTTGATTTTGATTTTCCCAATAACTGCGACGGCGGATCGCAGCGCGCGGAAAAAGCGGAATGGAAAACTTCGCCACGATCAACGCGATGCTTGCGAGCTGAACACGGTGCCGGAGAGCGACCAATCAGCGACTATGCGATTTTCATCAATATTGATGGCTGAGTCCACAGTACATCCAATTTGATTTTCGCTTCTAAAGTGCCGGAGAGTGTCGACTCCATACCCTCGATGCTAACAGATTGAGCTATCTGCGAAAGCGTGAATGTTGCGCCCGGGCTCGCCTCGATCGCAGCGAAATCTAACAGGTCTACCCTGGGCGTCGACGGAAACTATTACGTCGGAATCATCGGAGTTTCGTCGACCAGATCCCTGCCGACTCGAACGCTCTCGTCTTGAATTCGATGGATTGCTATATGTCTAGGTACAGTTCACTCTTCGCGCTACAGCAGTCGAGTTCTCCGAGGCTTTTAAGCTCTACGAACATTCAAGTCGAGGATCTGAGGGCTTGAACTCCTGTCTGGTGCTTACGACAGCGGTTTCGGATCGCCCGCGATTTATCCCGACTCTCGAACGTTGCCGACCGACGAAGTCAAGCTCCCCGTCTTTTTGTCCGGAATAATTACTATACGATGAGAAATTGGAACCCGCTCAATCGACCACCCTTGGAACCTATTCTTAGAGAAGGATTAAAAGCTTCAGCTTTCCCGATCTCGGACGCTGCAATGTGCGCGCCACTCGACTACTTAGGCGGTCGCATTTTCTATGCGGGATGAGGGAAGTTGACCGAGGAGTAAAGCGAGTAGTACCGGCTCAATTACAAAGACGGTATCCTTGAATGCGCTTGAGATTCTCATTCGTGGCAATAACCGGCCGAAAGACTTGCTCGAGAGACTTGCTCAAATGATCTTGAGCTCTCTTCCGGAGGATTATTCACATGATGACGCGAGTAGACTGCGTCCGAATAATGAATGAATCGATGGATGATTGACTACTCGCTCCTCCGTAATCATCGGGCGCTTGGACAGTGTTCCACTCGGCATCAGTGTGAGTGAGACCTTGTAATCGGCCCTCCGAGCAAGTCCCGGGACCGACTCAGTAATCGATATCGGCAGCGACGGCGAGGGGTTCTTCGGGATTGAGCCGGAGAAGCCGAGCACAATCGACGACCATCATTCGAACTGGGGACGAGTAACCCAATCGAGCCCCTCTATACCGAAAACTGGAATCTCCGATTCCGAAAAGAATGTACACAGGAGGATGTGTTGTATTCACAATAATCAATCGACACTTGTTCGACGCGGTATCGTTTCTTCCTTGATTGAAGAGGTACATATCACTGTCAATCTCAGTGGGCCGCTGCGGAGGATCCTTGGAGTCGACCATGCCTTTCGAGTGGACCCTCGTAAGTGCGAGCTGACACAAGTCGCGCCCAGACAATGTATCAAGTCGCGCTGTGTCGCATAACTTTCCCCGTAAGTAGGGTCGGTCAGTCAAGCAGCTAGCGAGGGCTATTCCTCTGCCTGAGAGACGAGAGGAGCTACACACGGCTATCAACATGCAGCAGGAAGAGGGGCGGGGAGGAGGAGAATCGTATCTGCCTTTCAGAACGATGTGACAAAATGTCACGCCAATTGATTGACTGGGATCTCGTTTATTATCCGAATGCCATGCTGGGCATTTATTCGTTTTCCCCAAGCCCGCTTGCCGGGCCTTCGCTCTCGCGTTGCTGGGGCCGCACGCCACGGAGACGAGCGGAACATGATATCCGTGCTCCTTGGGGCCTGTGATCCTGGGAGACACGGGAAGGTTCCTTCCCGAGCTTCAAGATCGACGGAATCTTCTTTCTACGTTCCGGGTCGAGTCTGCTTATCTCAGAAGCAAGCGGAGGCGTGATTACGGAACACGCTTTCGGAAATATTTCGAGAATCGGATCTTTTGTGAGTCCCTCCGGTCGGTCGCCTATGTCCGGGCTGGTCAGGGTCACGACAAAGCCACAGGAAGAAATATTGTCCCTCAAAACTCAGTTGCCGTCCTGGTGACTCCAAGTGTTGATATACGACCTTTCTTCCTGAGATTTTGGTCCTCAGCCAACAGTCACCGCGACCGTTCCTGTGCTCAGCATCAGCATCGCCGTCCACCGCTGAAGAAAATGAGCCGTGCCCCGATGGGTGCCTATTTGTCCGAAACCCCACCATTCGTTCGATCAGGGCTCTTGAGGTAAGACGATTCACAGATAGCACAGTTGTATTTTCTATTTTCTCATCGCCGATCCGAATGTTACACACCGTAACACCGACTTCTGGCGACCAGCATGACTTTGTACTTTCCTCTTTCCTCCTTTGTTCTCCTGGAACCCTTACGCTCTTTAATGGATATCGCGAGAGTACCCTCATCATCGGGTAGCATCATCGAATACAGATGAGAATGGGAGCATTCACCAGAGAATCCCATCCGCAGAGTAGAATCTCATCGGGTATACGTGGAGGACCTCCTACGTTTTCGTGGTAAGCGATCAGAAGCGACATCGATGATCGAAGCCATTCGAGAGCAACGGTATCGAAATTGAGAAATAAACCAGACCGAGATGTCGCGTCAGTCTACTTTAATTGAGAACCCAATACGACCCGACTCTCTCAAGTGCATGAATCGTAAGTATTCTCATGGAATAGGGGGCTCGAGCACTCTCTTAGGCGAGAAATTCGGACTCACGATCGAGGATCAATTTTTCCGGGCGTTTTTCGCTGAGAATTTTCCTCGATTGAGGTAATTCCAGAAGGACACAGCTGACAGCGCAAATTCCGAATTCTCTCTGCAGAAGATTATGGTTCATTTGTGCATTCTGTCTCTATGATGTGTCCGGATAGAGGTCACTCATGTGTATGCGACGCGGCACACTTCTAGTCATGAGATGAGTGGCCAGCCGTGCTAGAAAACGGGGGAAACCTCTGCGGCCGTCCCGCGGAAAAGAAAATTGGAGATGACGGCTCTTCTCCCAATGAGTGGCTTAAAGAGTTATTTCTGGCGTGCGGTTAGCTCCTCACGATCTAGGAAACCAGGTCTATTCCATAGCGGGAGGAAATCTGGTCCCGATGGGCCTTCTGAGTGCGCCAGTTCGACGGGGATGACTAGGGCACAAGTCAAGAAGATGCCGACATTAATTGAAGGGTTTGAACATCTGCTTGCGGGTCTCTGAGGCTTGGGAGAGACGCTCTCGAATCGTCCATTCATCTGATTGGGTAGGTGGTCGGAGCCAGAAGCGCGCGACGCGAATTCGCGTTCAGGAGGAAAATCTGACTGGCGGTGCGTGGCGAATCCCTTTTTTAAGTCCTGCATACGGACGCGAGGGAATGTTCATTCGGAGTGGGGCCGCCGAGAGGGAGGTCTCCGTGCAGAGTAGCATCCGGGTTCCGGAGGACTGAACTCAGTCATTCGAAGGTCTCCTTCAATTTCGGGTTCAGCGTCATTCGACACCGCGGGCCAATGATGAGAGCTCAGCGGAACCAGCCCCACGCGATCGCTCATTGATAGCGATTGCGAAAAGCTTATTCAAGAGTTTGGCCGAGTTTCCACTCTCCACCGACTCTCCGGTCAGAGACCCGGGCTGAGACGGTGGTGCTTGAATCGCATTGTGCTTCCGTGCGGGCGGATGATCAGTTGTTGTTCCCTCACACACTCTTTCGCTCGTTCATCCCGTAGTTCGTGCGATTGTTCTCTGTGAATCAGTTTCAAGCAGGATGTCGGAATTATTCAGACATAGGCATTTGTACTTGTTCCACAATTTCTGGGGTAAGTGAATTCTGAAGGAAGAAGCCCGCTCAGGATCTCACCAGCAGGAGCCCTAGAACTAGCCCTGAGTGGATATCGAGCTCACGCCCGCAATTCACTGCGAAGAGCAGTGCTCGGGATTGATTCTTTGCTTTGCGAAATTCCGTCGTTCCCTCGGTTCGGCAGAGAAGTCGATGCGGAATGTGCGAGAGAAAAATCCCTCCGTCAGGGTATAACTCCTCGTTCAGTTTCCGCTGAGCAAATCTCCGCCGAGTGTAATCCGATAGGGGCTTACGGCATGGTGTATATCTTGCTAAACCAACTTGTACGGAGCTTTTTCTGCGTGCTCTTCACTGAAGGATTCCGATATTCAGTCAAGACGACAGCGGGAGAGACAGCGAACAAGTTGCCATTCACCGAGCCACTTTCCTATCCTTCCGAGAAGACTCTGTACTCGGTCGGCTTCTGGTTGGGACGAACGCGCTAGAGCTCTCCTAGGTTTACCAGATCGTCAACATCGAGACTGCTACTACTAGATGTGTGCGCTATGCCCCGGCCGCTTCGTTCGCCTTTCGCTGTATGTTCATATCAGCAATAATCGCCCTTTGAATGAATTTCTTGTTCCCCATCTCGATACCTCGGCAAACCGATAATCGCCAGATAATTCTCCCGCGGAGATAATCGGGATTTTCATCGATTCGAATGGTCGAGAAATTCAGGGAATGCCCAAAATCTAGAGCAGTAGATCAATTAATAGGTCGATCTGTGACCCAGACCGTAAGCATCGAGACTGGAGAATTATTGCGAAAACACGAGAGCTCTGCGTGGTTGAGCGCATCCGCCGTTGGTGGAAGAGACGAGTCAGCGTATTGTGCCCGAGACCGGGCTATTCTGTTTCCCTATTTCCTGCCTAACAAGTCCCCCCGCAGCTCTTCCTTACACATATACGCACATTCATATGTAGGTAGACAAAACAAAGGAAATGACGTGTAGACGTATTGCGAGGCCCCCATAAAGTCCTCAATAAGGTTGACAGCTTGTAAACGCTTGTCGTCTGTTCCCCCGGTCATCTCAATCTCTTTCTTGCCCATCTACAGCAGGGCCGAGAGAAAAACAGCCTGCGGCTGATCAATCGAAACAGGCACTCTCTGCCTGTATATCATCGATCCTACGCCCTGAGAACGAGATATCCGCGCCGATGGAACTGATTTATCGTGAGCTTATCGGGAAATATCCTCTCTACAGATCAGAACAAAGATGGCATCTTGTCCTGGGAAGATTTCAACACACTGGCGGAATACTACACCATGGTTCAAAGGAAGGGGAAGCTAGAGAAGGATGTCTACGAGCGATGGAAGTCCATTCTCGAGAAGTGGTGGAATGAACTCACCATGCACGCCGATTACAACAAGGTAGAAGAGTGCACTTGCACCGGATGATTATTTCGAGAATTTGTCTTCGTGTAGGTACGGAAACTTTCCGATTGCTCTTAGTCGAGAAAACCTGGTGCCCGGCCCGGGGAATTCCTTCGAGGGAGGAGCCGACACGAGCATCCGTCTTGCTCGCTCAAAATATTTGGGAGAACAATAAAAACATTCGTCGTCGCCGCCGAAGTAGAATCTTCGCGTAGTTTGTCGCGAGTACCCAACACCAGCTGACATTCAGGAAGAGTGTTTCCCGCGGACCTCTGTAATGAGGTCAAATGCCAACAGCTGACCGCTCGTCTGATATATGAACCCACTCTAGAGTCACACTCGTTGAGTGACTGACGGAGCTGAAGCCGACGCGGCCAACACCGCAGATATCGTCCCGAGTCACAGCAACACTATGCATTCGTGTAATCAGACGAGGCCGCAGAAATTCATCCGATATCGAAAAACTGCAAATTAAGCCGAACGTTTCCGTCCGGGATCCCTCTCTGCCTCACTATCGGACAATCGCGACGACGACGACAGACAGCGTCTGGGTCCGTATGTTGCGATCCCTGGACCCGAGTTTTGTTGAATATTTTGCATCGGCGACGCTGTCCGGAATAATCAATGCCGTAAGAACATGAGCCCATTCGCGAGAACGGCGGCACTCTTGGGAGGACGTCGAATTTCAAATCCTCGGTAAAGACTCTCCGGGGAGTGGAGAGGTCCGCTGTTCGCATCGCGTGTTCGCAGAATCCGTCTTGCTCTCGCCGGCGGGGATGAGCTGACGACGGCGCGGCGTCGCCACCACTGAGAATCGGCGAAATCCGCTCGTCTCCTTCTTCTCACCTCTCCGCAGATAAACGAGAGGAACCTGGCGCTGTACTGGAGCAACTATCTCTAAATGCCTGACATCATTCTGTGTTTCCGCAGGATACCGTGGTCGAATTCGATGAATGGATCCGATTCTTCAAGACCATGGGCGAGACCACGAAGGAGTTCAAGGAATTGCCGGATTTTCTGCAGAAGTACACTCATCTACTATTCATGATCATGGATGCCAACAAGGATGGCCTATTCTGCGTGAAGGATTACAAAAAGTACCTGAAAGGTCTTGGGTTGAGCGTCGATCACGCCGACGAGCAGTTCGAATCGATGTTAGACGTAAGTGCATGGATCACGCTCCTTTTTTCCTCCCTGACCTTCGGACGGGTTCGAATGAATGGTGGAGGGAAAATAATGCTCCCGGGCTTTGTCTCATCAAGTCGGAACCTCTGGTTTCCGCGTCGATGGAGCCCTCCGGCGAACTTGTCATGTATCGGCATCGCTTTGCTGGACACAAATGCAGCCTGAAGCCTCAGAATCAGACAGCCGAAGTCGGATAACGTAACGATAGATTGGATTGTACTGATGTAGCATACATGTCCGACCGGTCAGGCTTGATTCGTGCGACTTGCTGTCACTCATTCCTTATTCGACGTTCAGGGCCACGGGAGGAAACGTATTCTTCTTTTCCAGCAAAGTGTACACATATATCCAGTCGGGAGAGAGGTGTCGGAGGCCTTCTTCTCATGAGTGGCTTCCTTTTGTAGGAGCTCGACAAAGCGAATGATAAAGCCATGCCCATTGAGAGCTTCCGGACCCGTGTTTACGAATACTGGACCAAAGATGATCCGAACGTGAAGGGCAAATTCATGTTCGGACCCTTCCAATCTGAGGATCTGCAGGCATTGGAGGCAAAAACCAAGAAGAAATGAAGAAACCACGATTGTTCCTATCTGTATATTGGGTTCGCAGTCCAGACCATCAGCTTACAGTCATTCACTAGTCTAGAGGGAAATTCCCATCGTTCATGATGTCTTCATAATCAGTGGAATAAATCGAGCGCCTTAGAGTATCTGATCTCTGCTAATAATTCACTGAGACAGATCAAGGGTTCGCCAGATACGAATACTTGCGCGGAGCATTTTTCATGTCATAGAGCCGATCGTCGATCTTCAAGGCTTCTGAGATGTATTTATGCATAAATGTTTTGTTGAAAAATTATCCTCTTCCGGATCCGATATCTGGGGATTTTTCGATCGGAGGACAGATATTGTATTTTGTTGGGCTTTTTTCCATTATTCCTCATCTCTACGCCGAGTTTCGACTCGTCTCTGATCTCTCCAGATATCTTGGGTACCCCTCTTTATATCGAGCGAATACTCGTGTGAAGACGAATCGCACATTGAGCGATAGCCGTTGGACCTCCGGGAGACCGGAGCTACCCATCAGACTCGCGCAGGAAGAAAATTATCCGCCTGGGAATAGGGGGCGAGTCTTCGAATATGAGATACCCAGGAGCCAGAGTAATTCTCTGAGCTAGGTCTTCAGAGGACGAATGTCGGTACGGCTCAAACTCCGGTTACGCCATTCCGGCAAGGAGACGATATTGACACCCTTGCTACTATTTCCCGTAGATAATTTCGCTTATGCACGCTTGATAACACACGATGCGGGGAATTCTCGATCGACAATGTCGGATCCGAAGAGCCTCCCCTACTTCTTTTCGTTCCACTCACGGAGAAATTGATATGTCTAAGTCTTCCTTCATCCCTCTTTCGCCCGGAGCTGACTTAAGCTGGTCAGATATTGTTATAAGCCTCTCCATAAATCCGTACGTCAGGCTTTCCGGCCAACTCGCCGATATCCCTCGGGAAGAACTTTCGACGCGTCGAATATAAACTCAGATCGAGGGAGGGAGGTTACCGCGGACATAATCCCCTCGTCATTCCGCGAGCGTATAGATCGGAACCTACGATTCCTCTGCGGTCTCGACGAAGTTTCAAGACATGAGAGCACTCGGGAGGCCCCCCGAGCGGAAGAGACCGATGTTCCCGCCTCCTCGGGTACCGCGAGGGTCTCAATGACGACACTTCAACACTAATCTGTCCGTGCCTCGATTCCCCGTGGAGTCAAGGTGCTAATTGAGCCCCTGGAAAACAAATTTTCTAATGACTTACGTCGCTGACCGCCAGCTCCAAAGCCGGCTTCGCGATGCGGTAGTCGAAGCTTCTCTTGAGACCTTTGCTCATGATGAAAATTGAAACAATTTTCGCGACGAAGCGTCCGTCGCGGGGGTCGTGGAAGCGCACGTCCTCTCTCCAATTCAACATGTGTCTAATGTCCTTGACAAATGTCGAATTTTCCAACGATGTTTCGTCCATGGGATCGCTGTCATTCGTCGACCTCGGATCCAGCTGGAACAAAAAGATATCGAGCCTCATTATAGTGAGATATCGAGCCGGCGTTCCAATGCCACTCGCAGCTTCAGGTTCGAGATTCGTCGGAGCCGCTTTAAACTAGTCGCTGGTTCAGCGAGACTCGGGGCGACAGGGAGCCTAAATTCGGATTCTCCTCGCTTAAGGAACCACGCGGTCCGTGGTGGGCTGCAGTCAACGATAGGCCAGCGCGCCCACGATGGCTCCGAGATATGAGACGGGGCAAACATGCCGCTAGCAGAGTTTGCGATCATTCGGCTAAGCGACAGGAAAGCATATGCCTCTATTGACTCCGTGTCTGTTTGCATCAATGAGACCCCAATCTAGATCTGACGGAATCTTCCCCGCAACCTGATCGGACTGGAAGTTTCGGAATATACAGTCTGGAGGAGTCTCCGAGGATCCTGGAAGCAGTGAGGAATGCTTAAACAGAACAGGGATTCTGAAAGTTTTCAAGAATTGTGCATCCGGAGTGGTACATTGGACTGCAAGCGGCTCGGATGGAATCGTTCTGGGTTCCTACCCGATATTAGACTGACAAGTCAATCCCGATTTCTTCCCCCTTCGAGAATCGAATTTCCTCCTTGAATATTCACCAATCAATGAGCGAATTCCGGCCGTCAGGAGGAACAGTCAGGGGTTTTTCAACTTCAAGGCTCCGTCCTCGCTCGACGACTTCCGCCGAGAATCCTCCAGAGAGCCTCGAATCTTTTTGCGAGATCTGGCAGAGGAAATGGATGTACGAATTTGGCTTTGCCTCACATCCATTCATCGGCTGGGTCCGGAGCAATCTTCGAGGTCCGCCGGAGATCTTCTGACATGAGATGTCATATTCTCTCGATATCAGCCCGGGTTCCGCGGGGTCATCCCGAAGGTTCCGATCAATATAATGAGTTTGAAAAACATTCAGCTCCGTTCTGAAAACGTCCAAGTCGTTCCCTACTCGCCTCGCAAGGATTCCGTCATTGATTCTCGAATGCACGAGTCTTTAGAGCATACAAGTTTTCACAGCGTTCCATGGATTTCCGCGCAGATTGGGAGCGAGCCCGGGAGTGACCAATTCGGATTCAATCGGCTGCTGGATGAACCCCATCGAAGCCGTGTAAAGCAGTGCTGATAGTCATCGTACTCGACCAATATATAATACACCCCTTCTCTTAGGCCGAGATCATGTCGCGTCTCCGTCGCTATTTTACTTTGGAGAAGTTTAAGACTATGTAGGACACAGAGGGAAAGTGATATGATCAAGTTCTCGAAGTGACTGCGAGCGAAGATTCCGATCAGGCTTCCCGGGCCGGGTATGAGGGAGCTGTGCATTTCCCCTCAGGGTTCCGCGAGCGCAGGAGTTGAGAATTGCTGCCTCGAACGCCACAGGATCTGCGGAGAGAAAAACTCCGATCGCTACCTCAGTCAAAGTAAGTTTAGTTCGGAGCGAAAATGAAACTTTCAGGACGTCCCAGGATTTTCTCAGAGGGAAACGAGAGACTCGACGGAAATCCCTTCGGGACCACTTTGCGCTTTCGGAATCGACTGCGATTTAATTGGCGTGTAACGGGACCTCGTCGCCCATCCGTATAGAACTCCCCGACTTTCTCGACTTCGATGCAGAATTGACGCGATTCTTGTTGATCCCAAAACGAAATACTCAATTACGCGGACGACTCGCTGATGGAGCGTATTATAGCCCAAAGGCGGTAACATTTGCCAATATGATCCATATGTTCGCGGACAACAAGTTCGAGGAAGAATGCATATCTCAGAGGCGGCATGTTGTGGACACCGCACCGGCTCGACTTCGAAACAACAAAATCAGCGACGGACTTAATTGGTTCCTCCCTCATCACAGAAATGCACAGTACGCGCTCGATCGTTTCGAACATCGAATCACTCGCGAAATTCTCGAGTTCTAGGAGGCTTCATCGAGAATCAGGTGATGTAATTTACGCTGCGTCGTTGGATTCCCCGAAGATCTCGATCCAAGCGGTGAAGCAGTCTGGGCACGGAGTTGACGGACTCGCCGGAGGTATCTCAGGGTGATTAGGGATACCAAGTTTACGATTGCGGGGATCTCGGTATCTGTCGGCAACCCATTTTTGATCCCATCAACCTCGGTATGAAAACCTGAAGAAGGCGGACGACCCCCGCGCGAGTTTCGGGAAACCTTAAGTCACGTCCACGCTTGAGAACAGATTCGACTCGAGTAAAGCGCTGGCATACGGATTTCGATTTTGAAAGGAAGAATTCCGGCGATATGACGAGGACTAATCTTTGAATATTCTTTACCGTTGAGGCGGATGTCATCGACTCATTTAGATCCAGAGCGAGCGACTTGGTGTTCTTCCCATCGCTGTGGATCACGAACACCGTAGAGGAATGAGAACACCGTGCTCGCCCCTGATTTGTAAACGGAACTGTAGGCGACTCGCCCCGAGGATGACTGCATTCCGGAAAATTCTCATGCGTGAGAGACAGACGGAGAGCTCCGAAGTCCAGCTCCAATGCAACCTCGCTGGTCAACGAGCTTCGTCTGGAGCGTTCTAAGTGGCACGAGAGTCGCAAACAACAATTCGCCTGCTTTTCGTGCAAATTATTCCCAGTTCAGTGAGAATCGCTGTTTTTAGCTCCTGGCTTAAGCATTGTATGGCGTTCGTCGCAGTTAATAATTCCAATTCTCTTTGTCATCTACTCGTCGTCACTGAACTCGCGGAGCGCGACCGAGTGTTCGAAAGGAAAGCGACTGGTCTGACTCCAGGAAACGGAACAAAGCGAATGGGGAGCAGGGGCCTGTTCCATTTGCTTCTCGGAGAGCATTCGGGTGAACTCGTTTCTAGTCGCTGTATTTCTGTACCCTCCCGAATGCTCATTCAAGACTGCTACAAAGAAGTCTGATTGACGCGAGCGGAGTAGTCTCCGACGCATGGGAAAAAGAAACCACAGGACCCAGATAGAGGAATGGATCCACACAGGAAATTCGTTATGCATCCGAATCTGGGAGAAGAGGGTTCGGGACGAATCCCTGCTCCCATTGTAGTAGAATATAGGACGTTGCATTGCTCACAGCGCGTGTCCTGCGAACAGTCGCGCCGGGGATGTTTTTCGTGATGCATCACGCAAACAATCGCGTTCGAGTGACGAGCCGATTTGCATCGTTTAGTTCTCGCGAACAATGAGATTGACGAGTATCCTACGGGACTCAGAGGCAGACAGGAGAGCTGTTTTCTTTTTTCCTGGAGAACTCCGAATCCTAGAATGTTTCCGAGGGTCTCGCTCACGCTCCGTGAAAACACGCCCGCGATAGGGGGTCTCTTTCGGGCCCTTACTCACGGCCTCCGATTAAGTTTCCCGTTGAGTTGAGATTGTTGTTGAATTAGAGGTTCGTGTTCTGATTTTCGTCCAGAGAAACTCGATCCCGGCTGTCAGGTAAATGTGCATTTTCTAGCTCTGATCCTCCGGGGGCGCGTTTGCCCTCTGGGATCGGTCAGCGACAAGAATGCCAGTGACTCAGCTCAGAAAAAAAAAGATGGGGAACCGGGAGAGAGGGAAGAGCACGATTTTCGTGAGGTCCGTAGGGACATTAAGCCCGGAGTCCGCCGCAGGCATCGCCGTGTCTTGCTAAGCCACGAGTACGGCTTTAGATTCTGAGAATCAGAGGGAATTAAATTATCTAAATCCCCACAGTTACCTGAAACCCGCGTGTAACGGCAAAGCTTCGCGATCTCGTGTTTCACACTCTGTACAATGTTCGAATGCGTTTCCGGAGCCAAGTCTCCTCCAGATGTCAAGCAACGTAGTATTCCTCACCACAGATATAATACTCGATAACGGCGAGGTGTCCCGACGCTGAGGGAAGAGCTGGGAAAGAGCTAGCCAGGGAGCCACAGGCAGCGTCTCGGGTCGGCTAATTACGAGAGAAGCAAAATCACGCTACGAGTTCAACAGGAGTCTTTCACGTTATGAGAACTAAATCAAGAGCCGGGGGTTGCCTGCTGTTCCCGACTCGCTCGTGGCGGGCTTTCCGAAGTATTTGTGTCCAGGCGCCGCACAGTTAATTGCAGCTCTGGCAGCCGCGAACCAAGTCGTTTCACGGCCACGGAGGACGTGGTTCGGTGTCCTCGGGCTAGTTTGTGGAGTCTGTATTAATTGTGCTATTTGGAATCACCGTCGAGCAGTGCGGGGCACTTACTCTGAAGCGCTCCTGTCGCATCGAAGGAAATAAAGTTTCCAAGCCACACGCCGGAAGCAGCCGTAATGCTTGGAAGGTTCTGCTGAACCGAAAAGAATCACGCCAGAGATTGCCACTCTCGAGGAGCTCTCATGATTTGTGCTCGAGGGCTTGAACAAGGACAATCGCTGCCGTGAACGCCCTTTTTACCGAAGTCTTCACTCAAGTACTCCGCACGTCCGCAATCACAGACAGTGCTTGTTGTTCGGATTCCTCGGGGGATGCAACTGCCTCCCGCATAGAGTTGCACGGTTCAAAATCCACGTTCGCTAGAAGTGAAGGGTAGGGCACAAGTGAATTCGAAGAGCCGCGCCGTCCTCAATTATTGTTCTCGGTGAGTACGCTGCACGCCTTAGAAGAAAGTTTCGCTGGCTGCAAATTGGTCTTGTCTCCAACCGATCAAAAACTTCTCTGGCTTCACTCCGAGCTATTCCTGATCGGATCTCCCATCTGCCGGCTGCTTCGCCAATGCTTCAGGGATTCCCAAGACAAGCGAGGAACGCAACAATCGGCGAGAACAGGTCGAAATGAGCGTGACGCCTATTGCGCGAGACTGTCCTTGTGACGGAGGTCTCATACAGTGTCACGAGCGGGAGAAATACGTCATTCAACGGAATGTGCTCCGGAGCTCGTCAGTGGCGACTCCCGACACTGATTTGGATTTTCGATGTATTTGCGTGAAAGGAAACGCTCTCTTGCGAGAGCTTTATCGAACAAAAATGTT